CAGGGTTGAGATGTATTGCTAATTTTTTCAAGCCTACTGTACAATTTTTTATTTATTTTTTTGAATTGTTAGTAAAACGTTATTAGATGCATAGGTACTGGGATACATGTATTTACCAGATATTTTCTCAACAAAAAAAAATATGATGTTATGACAGTTTGTACTATGTCACAACAGTAAAAGTAGATAATAAGTTTTTGTGATGACCTAAAATGTATTTGCTGATTTTGCAAGCCTACTGTACAATTTACAATTACAAAAAAAGCCAATTTAATTATGAATTTCCTGCCAAACTACACATACTGTATGTAAGGTAGCCATCAATATTTATTATTTTTGATTTTTATATTGTGAACATTCATAGCTCCAGTACATAAATTATTAAATATGGTATCCAAAACCCAGAGGAAATTTTTTTTATCGATTACTTTATATGACTAATGACTGATTTTTGTTTTCATTACCATAAAAACGATGCTACAGGCATAGGGAAAATGTCAGAAAAAATAAGTCCGATAATTCGATTAATGAACCATGACAGAAGAATATAAAAATCAACATTCACAAGAACTTAATCCAAGACCTGTCACTTACACCAAGAATGTGATGTTACTAAACCACAACAGCTTTGTGGCGAGTCCAAGTATCTATAGTGATTTAAATTATTCTTATTTATTTTCTGTTAAAAGTAATAAAAATCTTTTCATCACGTAGATTTTTAAACGTCTATAAATCAATTTATTTAATCAAAACATCTTTTTTTAGATAATTTCTAATGTTCTTGTATGACATAAAAACATATTTTGTTCTTATTTTAGTTTAAGAATTGAGACCGCTTAATTTTGGTGTAGTTTAGTATTATTCAACCGTGTGCTATATAAACATACAAGGAAGATTTGTGATCTGTCATCGAGATAATACACACAATATATAATTAACTAAATTGATGTTTTTCAGACATACCAAATTCATCTGGACAAGTTTAATGTTTTCATAAGCTAGAATGAAATTATATTATCAGTAAAATGGGGGAAAAGTCTACCTTTAAATCCAAATTAAATTTGTGAGAATGCTACAGTAGGTTTTTTTTTCTATTTTGGGAGGCATTGACAATCTAGTAGAATGCATTCCAGTTGGTCTATGTTCGTGACAACGTTAATGTTACTGAAACTCATGTTTTTGCAACTATTCAACATAAAACATTTCTTGAATGTTGGCGTGGAGAGTATCAATAACAAAATAGTTAAACTTTTGGTACACCATGTGTAAAAATGGTTTTTCAGATAAAACCACTGGTTGGTTCTCTTCATGTTTTGTTGAGTTTGCTCTGACCGTCATCAGGAGAATGATAAAAGATGGTTCTCTTTCACCATGGTAACTACTGGATGTTGGCAAGATGATGTTGGTTTCAAACTTGGTAGATTGGAAGAGGACATGATGCCTAGTGTGTTTAGTACCTATGTGATTTTGCTAAATGGTCATTTAAACTACAGTATTAATGCTTAACAAACACATTAGATTTGCATGCTTATTTTATCTTCCTTTTTTTTTGTTGTTTTGCTATTTCTTCTTCTTGTATATTTTTACTTCACGTTTTATTATAATTCATATTTTGTAATTTTATTCTAAACCATGAGAATTCATCTCTAATATTATTAAGTGTGTTCTTTGTAATTATGATTTTGTTTTTATTGAGGTGATTGTTACTATTAGATATTGATGAAATGGTCCTTGAATCAAAGGTTTTCCTGATTAAATTTTGACATAACATTTCTATGTTATCATATTAATATTACATTTCTAGTATCAGTGTTTTACCTTTTCCATGGAGCACTACAGTATAGTATTAGAATATTCTTGACTATATACTTCAAAAATCTGAACTCTACTAGAAGTATAATCAATAGGAGTCTATGTTAGTAAGGTTATTAAATTATTGGCTTGTGCATTAAGATAGTTTTTACAAAGGTTATATCTCTAGAGGTGATATTTCCAGAGGTCACTTGCCTGAGTAGAATATCTAATAATATAAGTAAAATCATTGATTCATAGGCAATGCCCTGAAGATATGTGGTCAAAGGTGGAGTAGCAAGAAGGGACCTGGTTCAGTATGTTTTTCGGGTCAAGTTCATTTGCCGAATGTCCTTATCTTCAGAAAAAAAAGTAATGTAGAAGCTGAGATTTACACGTAGATTATCCTGTCGATATTCCTTCAAGAAGAAATAGATAAACTAATCGTTATTAGCTGTGCAGAGATTCTAAACACTACATAACTCCTTCGGATGGTTTAAGATGATCGTCAATATAATGAAATGTATTTCAGTAGAGATGTACCGTATTTAGGGTTCGGTTTGCAGTGTGTTTGGAATATCAAATTGCATCATTGTTTATTTCGTGATTTTTTTTTACCAATCTTGATGTATATCATTTTTTTCTGGCATTGTAACCTATTATTTTCTTTCTAATGAATCTTGTGAGGCAGTTTAAATGTACTTTAACCCACATAATGTACTCGATACAATATACACTCAAAATATTTTACTGGCGTTGTTGTTGATCATGTTAATTTTAATTAATGCCATTAAATGTAATTCAAATGATGTTAATATTTCATTTTGTAATATATGAACTTTTTAAATATACCTAATCATTTTACAGTGCTAAATTCTTTCTGATTTTATTTTTAAAATATTTGTAAGTATTAGTACGACTAGAATTTCTCCATATCTACAGTAAAAACTTTGTTTCCTTTGCTTGATGCTGTATACTTTTTATATACTTCCAAATGTATTATTTATTCATCATATCAGGATTTTATGGAACATCAAACTGACATAAAAGCTAAAGACATTCTCACCGCTTCCAAGCATAAATATTCACCTTGATTACAAAGGTTTGAGGAACAGAAAACAACAAATTACCCACACTATAGAAACCTGGTGTTTCACAAGTCAATGTACTCCTAAAGAAGTTTATCACAATACCATTGTGAAATATTCATTTTTCATGAAATACAAATTAATCCAAACTACTAAAGAACACATGCCAGTAAATGTAATGTTTAAGGATCAATGTGAGAGACTTCCAAATTTGAACAAAATAATTATTACCAGTATTTGTTTAGTAATCCTATTGGACTAATTATTAACTTTCAAATTATTATTCTAGACAGGATAATGTATTCTCAACATAAATGTGGTGGGAATTTTTTATGCGCCTAATAATATGTTCCAACGTATTTTGATGTTTCTCCATTGGTAATTAAGTTGTAGTCACTTGTCACTACATCTTTATCCCATTAATTTTGTTACCGTACGAAAATCAATGAAAGCGGACATAATGCTGCATCAACTAAAAGACTGAATTACCCCACAATCAAATGTGTCTCTAATAAAAAATAAGCTTGGAAGTATATAAAAACAAGGCAGTATTATTTCATCACATTCAGTATGTTACAATCTTCAAATGGAATTAACATTATAACATCTAAAATAATGTAAAAATCATTGTGGCATTGCTGTGGTGACAATAATTTAAGAAATAAACTAAGACTATTTATAATGAATATTTTTGCTCTATTCCAATTAGTGTAGTTTGATTTATGTAACTAAATAATTAATGGGTTTGTTTGTGTGAGATTTTTGCTTGCTTGTGGGAGAGCCAAGATCATGTTGATTCCAGGAGACTGCTTCATTTTAATGTGCCGTATCTAAAGAAAGATAGACATATTTTTCTCCTTAAAATATATGATTAGCTATCATACTTTTAGATATATATTAGCCTCCATATAGAGACAAGATAATGTTAGTATCGGTATTTTGCATAATTGTGAGTTTTTTAATTTGTCCCAGTGGTATGCACTTTGTCTGATTCCATCAAATTTGAATGGCATCAGTTAATTTTATGAATAAAAAAAATGTTGCAAAATTACAGAACACGAGCGTGTACAATTTTTTATCTCAATAAATGGTGTTTTTTTAAAGAATATAAATACAGGTCTCCCTCCAGTTTAAGACCCCTCCAATTAATGACCACCTCTAAATAATGACCACTTTTCTATGGTCCCAAATGAACAAATTTCTTTTATGTTTATTATTCTAATTAGAGACCAAAGCTGCTAAAGACCATGGAAACCCCCTGTCCAAAAGTGTTTTTAATTAGAGGGAGACATGTAATTAAATTAATATTTGTAATTTATAAGTTATACAAAAAAAAAATTAAAGATGTTAATTAAAAATGAAATTTATTTTGTTTTCAAAGCACTGTCCATACTTTCAGATTTTATTTGACAAAAACATGTGACATGCCTAAATATGGTCATGATGACATCACATCATGACATATATATATGCACATAATATAATAGAAGCGCATCGGTTGTGGCTTGGACTCCCAACCTCGAGGTCGGGGGTTCGAAACTCTCACTGTGCAAATCGCTTGTGTCCTTGGGCAAGGCACTTTATCTACGGTTGCCTCTCTCCACCCAGGAGTACAAGTGGGTACCTGGTAGGTTCCAACACAACTGCGCTGACTACTAGCTGCAATATTATGGAATAATAATATAATTTAACTTAATAATTTAATTTGGTGTTCAATGTGTTCCATACGTGTTTGATCCAATGACCGGGGTAGTAATGTGAAGTGCTTAGAGGCTTTGTAAAGGCATTAAGCGCTATATAAGAACGATATATTATTATAATGATTATTTATATGGACATACATACATTAAAATAAGATTTGATCATCTAGACAGACCTTAAGACTTGGTAACTTGCTAAAAGAGGGCAGCAGACTAATTTTCAATAATTTCATTATTCATTTGGTCTTTAAAAAATTGTTTAAAAAAATGGAAAGATTTGGAATACCAAGGATAACCACAGTGAAATTAATTTGTGTGGTATACTCAATAGGTGCCTATCACACATTAGGGTAAAGAGAAGATGTAGATCCAGAGGTGTGAGGTGGTGTGGCAATGCATAATGAAACATGTAGTATTTTGATAAACTTATCTACAGTACTTTTATTTGACAAAAACATGTGACATATTTTAATATGGTCATTATGACATCTCATCATATTTAGACATATTATGTCTATATATGGGCATACCATTTTGTTTGTAAAAGAAAGGGCTTTACAGCTGTTAAAGCATTATTCAAAATTTAAAATTTAATATATTGAAGAACCTATTGTGATGTATTAAACAGTAATATATAGAAGATACATTTAATTATAATACTTTAATTTATGAATATTTTTATTTTTTTAAAGCATAAACAGTATAAAATAATATTATGACAAGGTCATTAAGTTACTAGTTTTTTAATTATTAAATATTTGTTTTCCATAACTGATGTTCAAAGTTCTACCATTAATATTAGGGAGCTTTGAATTAACACGACGACAGTAGGATGTAGAACTTAATGAAGTCACTCAAATTCTTCTGCGCAGAACGTTAATTCTCCTCGTCACATGGGTTGTAGAACGCAATTTGGTCAATCTATGTATGCAGAACGTAGAACATCTGGTAGGATGGTCACGCATGAGTGATTCCATTTTGGCATCGCTTTGTCGAACAAATCAAAAGCTTCCTATTGTTAGTATACAATAGATATCCTTTTTTCTGATCATATCTAAAAAAGGGCAAAGCAAAATTGTTGTTTTGCCCTTCAGGACAGGAATACAATATCTAAAAAAATCGGGTAGCATTTAAACAAATTCTTATTTCTAATTTATATAAAAGTTAACCTGTGATTACTGACCCTGATTTACAAATTCTAAAAAATGTAGCTTCCACTCCAATATTACAGTACAACATATTACTCTAACAAAACAATTTGGTCAAAATCAGAAACTAGATACACCTAGGCCAATCGATTAATAGTGGTTCCCAAAAGTTTGTATACATAAATGAGATAGATTGTATACAAGATTCGCATGAATATGACAGGTCTTATACAGTGATAAGGATATGGATCTAATTATAGTAATAGGTGGATTTACCTACCGCTTCACACAATCTGATTGTTTCGAAGCATTCTAGTTATCCAATAGTATATAAATTTTATGTCCTATGCAAAATCAGCAGTATTTTGTGTTCAGGGGTTGTGGGGGAAATAAACTTATAGAGGAACTACGGTAATATTAATTGTGCATTTTTTTTACTATCATTTCACTACATTTTATCTGAGTCTATGGCGTTTCCATTATTGTCTATTTTGGCATCTTCTTGTGGTTTTGAAATGGCGCTCTGTCTCGGTTTGGGTTTTGGTGTAACTTTAGGCTTTGTGGCAATTGTTGGCTTAGATGCAGTTTCTTTTGGTGTAACTTTAGGCTTTGTGGCAACTGCTGGTCTAGGCTGTGGTTGAGGTTTACCATTAGTTTTATCTGATTGTTCTTTAAGATCTTCATTTTTTGCCAATGATAATTCATACTTTTCTTCAGTGTTTGTCTTCGGTACAAGTTCTTCTGTCTCATCATTACTTTCAGTTTTTTTTTTTAAGATATGATGGAGTTCTCCAACTAAGCTAGCTGTATTGGACGAGGCTGGAGTAGCCCATGTTGGCAAGGATTTTTTTGGAGGTTCTATACCTTTTGGTGAATTTGAGTCGGATTTCATTTCTTGCTCCCTTTCAAGGGTAATCTTTGTATCTTGTTTTGGTTTAATGATAGTTATAGATTGTTGAGTACTAGCAGTTGTTGATCTAGAATCTGTTTCAGAAGCTTCTGGTTCCTTTGGTTCCTCTGGTTTGTGTGATTCCTTCAGTTCATTTGATTCCTTGGGTTGCATTGCTTGTTTTCCACCATCAGCAAAATCTTTGTCAGTGTGTGCTTTATATACGGCATTCTGCTGAGAATCATCTAGGTGCGTTTCATTGATCAAATGGCGACTGTCTGACGTCTCTAAGGAAGCACTCTGTGCAGCTAATTCGCTCTCAGATGACATGCTCATTACTGATTTCCGGCTCTCTGGTTTTAACCTTCTCACTGATGCAACCATATGCGACAAACTGAATCGTGCTTTTGTTCCAGAGGAATGCCTATTTTTCGATCTGCGTCGCACCGTTTTCTTTTTTACTGTGAACTTCTGTGGACTTAGAGCGTTGTAATTGGGTGCATTAATGTCCTCATCCATAATATCAGCTTTTTCGTAAATGATAATATCTAAAACGAAATAATAACAATTTTAACAAAAAAACACTACAAAAAAAAAAATATATTCCATTTCAACTTACAGTGTACAATAGAAACTTTCCATTACCTAGTCCCATTTTTATGAAATTTATTGTTTTACATTCGTAAAATACTGACGGTATTGGCATAAATAATATCATCATTTCCTAGAACTCCTCAAGGGGATTTAGGCAACTCAATACATCTTGCAAGATCTCCAAGATACGGGCTACATAATGATACTGGCATTTATAATGTGCCTCTTCCTTGAGGTTATAAAGCGCAGTTCTTTTCCCTGGTCATTGGGTCCACATGCTTTAAATGCTACTGCTGGTAATCAGTTCAGGAGTAGGCAACCCCACCATGTACCCATTTACACTCCTGGGTGGAGAGAAGCAATTCAGATAAAGCGAAATGCACAGCAAGGGATTGGAAAACCAAACGGTTCCCACAGCACCAAACCCCTTCCTCATACTTGAGAATTTCTACTGTAATATACTTATTGGTAAATTGAATTTTGAATTATTTCCATAACTTATAATTATCTTTTCAATCTATATATTACTTTCATATTCGGTTTACTTTTACTTTTTTGTAGATTGTAGGAAGGTTGAGTTATGGTAAAAGAAACTTTTTCTACTATAATCTAATAATAATGAAGATAATAGTGGGTGGTGACAACAGCAGAAGAAATTATCTATTTGTGCCAATATATTTTTAAAAAAATGATGTGGGATACTGTGTGTTTCTTGCGAGCTTGTTAAAGATAGATATCAAACTCTCCCGCCATTGTTTTGTTTAGTTTTGAATATTGTTTACCGTACCTGAGCTTCCAGTGTAAGTTTTAAAATCAACAACACTGTTTATCATCTTCTCCATGCCATCTCTTAGCTCTTCAAATTTCAGTCTGCTGCCCTCGTCCTTGCTAGTCGCCATTTTGAATTTGTTGTTGAGATACATTGGTAGATTTTGTATTTCCTCATCAATTGTGTCTGGCAGTAAAAAATATAAAAAAGAATGTATGTAATTTGGATTTTATTAAGTCTAATTACACTCAAAGAAACCCAATGGGTCCATTGATTTTTAGATAAATATTACTGTATCTCCACAAATGTAGTTGTCATACCCAGAGGCCAAAATATAATTAATCCATTGAGTTATAACTTTATTTTATTGAAAATTGGTTGTGGATAATACATCAGCATACAGAAAATATAAGTGATGTAAAGCTGATTTGTGTGTCATATACCTTGGTTTGTCATTATCGTTTGTGCTACTATTTTTGTAATTTTCTTACCTTTTTGTAAACAAACACCAATAAAAGTTGTCATAGTGTGATTCTTAGTAAGTGATAAATTGCCGACTGATTCTGCCGATAGTTCCGTACCGACGATGCTTTTTGCACTGAAGTCACCTGTATAGATGCTCACTGTTACGGGAAAGGTGTTTTCTTTAAGAAGTTCAGTTAAGTTCTGAGGACCAATGTCTAATGTTAGAAGAAAAGAAAAGTTATAACATAATAAACTGAACTAATTTTAGAAAATATTTCTTAATTAAGAAATATAATAGAAAGTGACAATAGCAAACCTGGAGAAACTCAGCATTAAAATAAAGAGAAAAGATGGAGATTCATGCAGTCTCAGGTTGGTTTCAAAGCTTTGGAGAAGCAATAATAAAAGCAATAAAAAAGAACTATTGCCGCACGTTTTAAGGTGATCAATTTGATAGTTAAGAATAGTAGATGAAGATGAGGTAGACCTAAGTCTGTGGATGCTAACATCAAAATTCATTGAAATAAGATTAGAGATATAGTGGAGGGATGATTTATGGAGTGACTTATATACAAATAACATAATCCTGAAGTTAATTCTCACAAACAAAATTTTAAAATAGTATTAATAAATATGTAGGATTGTTAATAATAATGTGTAAATGAGGTCAGGTAATTTATTTTGTTAAAATGTAATTGTAATTATCAAAAAGACATTTCAATATATCCATTATTCAATTCAGCACTCATGATTTGAGTTTTATTAGGCATATTAAAACACAGAGAAGATAGGATTTAAGCAAGCAGATTTCATCAGTAAAAACAAAGTACCTTCATCCGTGGCGTTGATATTTTCAAATCGTATCGGAGTGTCATATGGAATGCTAATGTGGTTACCCTCATTATCAATCCCTATTATTCGTTTCTGCTCAATTTTGCCATAAATCCATAAAATCTGCACGAAGAAACAATATTTAGTTGTGTATTAAATTAAGAAAATAACTATTTAATGAAGTGTTTTTTGACAACATAGTACATCATAACATACATATCAAAGGTAAAATCTTACTTGATCAGATGAAAATGTCTCAATATGCTGAATGCCATAGTAACCATCAATAACCTTTAGAATTAGTGGCATTTGTAAGTCTTCCATTTTGTCGAGGAGTTCTTGTGCTGTGAAAGCCTCACTGCTCCAGCCCCCTTCTCGCAAAGTGTGTATCTGTTCTTTCAACTCCATTTTTGTAATGTCTACCTTGTTGTTTGCACTGATAGTAAATTACAAAAACAGCTAATTATTTGTCAGTAAATTCAATTACTCCAAAATATTATCTTTAAAATTATTTATTTTCTTTGAATCTAATATTTTAGAAAAAAGAAATACCCTCAATGTGTCTAACTAAAGCATTAACATTTTTCTTCCTTTGTAAAGTCATAGTTGTTATAGTCATTAAAATCTAGGGTATGGTTAATTTTTTTAAAAGTTGTATAATTGACTAGATTTCAAAACCATTACCATTTCCTTTGAACTTAAATAATACATCTTTACTTGGTACCTATCCTTTTTATAAAAAAAACATATTTATACCATTACAGGAAGCTACATTTAAACTAAGGTAGTAACATAATATAGTATTTATTAATGATGCTATCTCATTGTCATTATTACTATATGAAAATAGCAGATTATATTTTATTACTATGGTACTTTTAAGTACCATAGTAGTATATAATGATACTAATAGTACTTTAAGTACTATAGTAGTAGTAAATTATTTTGTCATTTTTATTTATATTTCCTGATTACCACAATCAAAGGTTTGTGTTTCATATCTAGAGTAAACTGTACTTCCACATAAAAACATCAGTGTTTTAGTTTTATTTTTTTGTAGTAGTCATTATAGCAAAATGTCACCATAATGTTTGAAATAGGCAAAGAGGATATTTTCGGTTAATATTTAATGTATTCTTTCTGTCTTCTTTCTGTCTCTTGCTTTTTTTGTTTATGGATTTCTGTTACTCCTTTTCTTTTCCTCTAGAGTTATTTTCTTGATGTTGTTTTTAACACAGCACCATATTTAGCTCATAAACACTTTAATTAGATGCCTAAATAATAAGATTAGATTAGATTAGTGAGGATTCCTAATATTGTAGGCCTATCCAACTTCATAGGGAGGTCTACTACACATAGCCATATGTTTTGTTAACAGCTAATACTTCCACCCTAATATACATATCGGTACTAGCCATCATAAATCCTGGGTATACACAGATAGATATTCTCTCCATAAATAGATGTTGTAGTTTGAGGAGTTGTAATCCCAGGTGTGCGTAACTATCGATTATTTTCCCGATTACCACTATAATCACTTGTACTAATATATTAGAAGCTATTTTTGCCCTATTTATAACATTTCCCTGGGCCAAATAGGCAGTTATATAGTGCCTACATACCTATTACAAGTGGATTAAACAGTTTTTTACTCCAATTTGTCACCTGTCTGGGACCTGAAAATGTGGTGGGTGTTCTCTGGCTTGGGTCTCTCCTTAAAGAGTTAACTTCGTGGTAAAAGTTTAAAATTGAAAAGAATTAGAGGGTTCTCAAATTGGAGGGGAATGTGTACAGCAAGATTGTCAAGTATCTAATAAGCAATAAGAATTATTATTTAGTCCTAAAAAAAAAATATTTACTTACCAAATAATTTGTATTTGTCCTACTTAATCCACCTTGATATTAGAGAAAACATAACACTTACCTAAAAACAATGTAAGTGCTTTGAAAAATTTTCCCACGAATTCTTGACTCAAACACCAGAATAATTAAATCTTTGTAATGAAAGATACATATATTATGAGGAAATAAGAATGTGTATCTCACATTACTGACTTTTTGAGTCATTTATTTCCTTATATGATTTCAAAGGAGCCATGGACCTGGGAATATTTGCTTTTTTACTAAGCTTTTCATATTGTAATTTCGTTTCAAGTCACAGTCCAGCACTTACATTGGTTTATTTTCCTAACACTTGATGAAGTCAATCATGTGCAGCGATGTACAAAGTACTGTATAAAAAACTGAGAAAGGGGGAGGATCAGAAGGCAGCCACACACTACTAGATTTTTTTTTGTTAAGGCTTAAAAAATATAGATGGTAGAGATTCAAATATAAGGAGGGTTCATTGCTAGGCTCCATGAGGTTCCATCCTCCTTTACCAAAATTTGCCTCTTGCAACCAGGGTGTAGTGTCCTTGAGCTAATTACAAGCTCCACAGGATATCAGATAAGTGTTAAGTAAACAGAATCAATTTTCTCAGGCAGACAGTAAACTGGAACTACTTCCACAATTACTCCATGCTCACAAACACTAATGTTTAACAGAAATAATAAAATATAATGCAACAATATCATCCGGTTTTTGTTATAATTTATTAGAAAAAAATTGAAGGTGTTGTTAAACAGTTTTTTTCTACGGCTTCAAAAACTGCTTGGAAAGCCAAAACTTTGACTGAAACAGGCTATAGCAGACACTAAATTTCATGTACGTCGTCAAACCAAGGAAATTGGTGGTTCATAAAACAGATTTGTTTGTACAATAACTATTATAATAGGCACGCAGTACGTACGATTTGTGTACAATCGTCTTGTCTTTCTCGCCTAGTCGTTTCGTAGGCTAGGCCTAGGTAGGAATGACACTAGGTCTAGTCAACAAAGGCCTACAACATCGCCAAATTGAAGCCACGTGGACCGCGTAGATGCTTGACTAAATCTATTATTTGTCTTCATTTTACAGTATTATTGTCATACTTAAAATGTTGTTTATTATCTAAAAACAACACGGTAATCCTACCGTACGTTTAAAATCTCTCAGTATTGTCAACCACTGTTCACAAATTTACAACATATGACGACACGATCAAACCAAGCGCTCTTTTATTATTTACTGCTGAAGTTTTTTCTGTCATTACGCTGGCAAAATAGTGCCCAATTACCATTGTATTATTTTTATTTACAACAAACAATTATATATTAAACGATTCGTACATTTAAAGTAGTTTCTAAATATTTTACACAGTAATTTTCATCAATAAAAATATTACTAATAAATGGATTCAAAGTGAATCACGTTCAAACCAATATATTCATCCGCCTTTTTCAGAAACTTCATGTCGTCATACGACGGCGCCTATACCAAGTCGGCCTATTCTAGGCCCAGTAATAGCCATGTACTTTTGTAACTTCTCGTAAAAGGGCTCGTTTTTTACGATTCGAACTCGTAGGTAGGACAGTTTTTTCTGCTAAAGACAAATGTTAACATATTTCATACGATTTTCAACAAAATAGATTTTCAACAAAATAGATTTTTTTTTTATAGTAAACTCAGTATGAATTGATTGTTATTGCTATGGCAGCACCCCTCTGAGATAATGACTTTTCCAGCCGCGATAGCCCTTCATGTACCGCGGTCTAGCCTTCCTGATAATTAGAGTATAATTAGCTATGATAAGAGACCCTGGTTTGAGACCCGAGTTTTCGTGGATAAGTCTGGTTTTGTGGTAAAGGAGGATGGAACAGCATGCCAGGAATTGACCGACCCAGAGTAGGTGCCAAGGTGGTACCTAGAAGCACCAGTGGGATCCAAAAGCCTTGTTATCTTTGAAATTTGAATATTGTAGTTTTAAATGATATTTGAGGAAGTGATGGAGCATAGATATGGTATGGAAATTTGAAACATTACATGACTAAATATGATATTAATACAGAAGAATCAAATTTCCAATAGGATTTTTAATATAAATAGTTGTCACAAAACAAAAACAAAACCTTTTTTTTTTTTCATCCAACAACAGTGTAACAATTGTGTAAAGTCATTAATATATATTGGCAAATTATCCTGAAATGAACCGAATAGGCTTGAAACAAACTACTGATATTGTTGCTGGGTGAATGTCCCAACCCTCTGGTCAGATGTTTCTGAAATAGCTGGTTTCCAGAATAAATATGATCATGTTGAGCCTATCAAAATTCTGATGGTGATGTCTGCTCTAAGGGTTTTTAAATGTTTGCTTCCTCTCCATCCTGATTCAGGTAGTACTTGCATCGGACCAATACCTACTTCGTTTTGAAGAATAAACATATCCACAGTTTCAAGTTTCATTAATGATCAAATTCGTAGAGCACTTGTTGAACTTGTTGAGGAGAACTTCACCCTTTGTTTTATTTTTTTGAAAACTTTATTTTATTCAGCTTTAGCCACAGGGCCAAGGATATGCCAAGCAGTAAACTTAATCAATTAAGCAATTCCGTCACAAGATAAATATACACACAAGATGCTCTACATAGGCATAGTCTCATTATAAGGCTTGGGGAGTGGAGTCCTTTTGGTCATGAGATAGAATCAGGGGCAGATTTGGGGGAGGGGGGGTAAAAAAGAAAGAAAGAAAATGAAAAAATTGTGATGGGAGGGAAGAAACATTATCTTTGACTTCATGGAAGAAATTGCTATCTACTGGTGATGTAGATGTGTATAAGAGAGAAGATTTTGTTCATTTGATTTCATTTTCATTTCATTTATTTGTCTCAAAAACATTATAATTTACAATAAAAGAAACAGCAAGGAAAAAGCATTTGTAAACAAATATGGGACACCCCAATAGTGAATTAAATCACTGTTGAGTGGGGCCCCTTCACAAAAAACAAATGCTTAAAATATAAAATTGTGTGAATGCCCTACAAAAAAAAATTATATTATCACCTTATCTAGGCTGGAAATGTGATGAGGGAGCTAGGGAGGCTTTTTATTTTTTATTTTGTTGAAAGCCAAATATCACCCTTAGATTGTTTACTGGTGCATTGATATGAGAATAATACAAACAATATCTACTAACTATTTACTAAAAAAATGGGGGAAATTATATTATATAATAGAAGACATGTGGGCGAGAATGACAACTTAATCATTTTTTTATTGAGCCTTATGAAACATTTAACGTTAACAAATCTAAAAAGTCGGTAGATTTTATTGGTAATCTGCAGCTCTTGGAAGTTCCAATTTTGTTTTGAGGAAAACACAAGAGATTCAGACTATTTAAATGTTGTTCCATTTTTGTTATGATTTATATCGAAAAATATATTTCTAGAGGTTCACTTTAGTTTACTGCATTTTAGAGACTAAAGTCTGTGGATTTATAACATAAATCATGTTGTTTAACCGCTGAATCAGACCGTTCCATGGCATGGTATTTTTTTTTTTTATTAATGCTATAAATCACAGAGTATGAAAGTGAAACTTTTAGCCCCACTAAGCAAAACATTTCCATCTAGGGGCCTGTTTCTGCTGCTTTTCCTAAAAATATGGTATAAAATATACTGTATAAAATACGGTATCTGAAATCCAGTGTCCCGTTTCTGCTAATAGTACTTCTTGGGTGATCTTGTTTAAAAGGTCCTTTTTTACCCAAAATGCCAAGTTTGGATTGACCTGTGTAGTGATTTTTTTTTTTTTTGCTTGCGATAAACATGGTTTCTTTAAAGAACGTTGTACTGTAATTTTAGTTTCATCTATTTTATCTATAATTAAAAGTTGCAACAAAGGAAGTTTTACACCCCAACTTCTGCTACAGCCTAGAAATTATTGGTGTTATTTAGTATTGGCTAATATCGTTAGTTTTTTTAGTCCACATTTCGCAAAATGTATGGTATACAGTATCTGTTGCAAAATACCGGAATAATTCCACAAAAATTGTGGGGAAAAATACGGTATAAAAAATACGGTATATTTTTATGAGCCCCGTTTCTGCTGCAAAAAAAAAAACCGTATATATACGGTATTTTTTGGCAGCAGAAACAGGCCCACTGATGTTGACGGCGTTTTAACCTTCGGTTTCCTGAATTCAACAAAAATGCCACAATTTATCTGACAAACAAGACGAGTACACTTCACATGCTTACAAGAGGGGCGGTGCCAGGAATTCTCCGATAAGGGATCCAAGCTCCCCAACAAGGGGTTCAATCTCCTCCCCGGTGGGGGTAGATTAAATTTGTCGGGGGATTATTTTTTATTAAAGAAAATAAAATTTTGTGTTTATTATGGGATTCTTTATTTAAAAAGGATGTTGGGGGTACTACTTCCCAGTTGTAGGTCCCATCACCCTGTTGTAGGTCCTATCCCCCTGTCGGGGAAAAGCATGGCGCACCACTACAACCCATATTATTGCAATTAGTATACCGCTCCTTGCTCGCATTAAACAGTTTTTAATCCCGAACTTTGACAGCTTATACTAAGACATATGCTTGATTTTTCCCCGAGGACCTTGCTAGAAATTTCCTGACAGGAGGGGGTCCAGAGGTCCCTGATAGATTCCTTTGTCTCCCTCCCTGGACCACCTGCTAGCACCGCCCCTTGTTATAACCATATAGAGTCAGAGAATACCAGCCTAGACTTGAGCTAGGCCGCTTTCTCCCACTTTAAATATAATCTACAGACTGATCAACATTGTTGCTTAGACTATTATCATAAGATGTTCAATAGATGAAAATTGCAATACCATAAATGAATAAATATTTGCTGGGGCACCTACAATTTTTTAAGGTTTCAGCGCAGTGCATTGAAAACATTTGTCGATTTGAGAATGCATGCTTATTCCTAATTATTGGATTTAAATTATACCATGTTTTGTGACCTTATGCAACATCATATTATTTTATCTATGAGAAATTGCTTAAGAAGGCTGTGGTAATTTACAAAACATAAATGCAATTTGGTACTGTATGTACTCTCGATTATTAAGCATATTTATCAAAATAATATTTTTAAATAAGACCCACGGTCGTGATTGGAGAATTCTCCTAATTAAAAAGAAATGAATGTTTACTGCTATGTTTATTCGAAAGTGGTAAAAGATAAATGAATTACATTTTAATTTTAATATGATTTTAAAATTTTAAAATATTTCGTCATTTCTATACTTAAGATTTGTTTACAGTTCAAACGAATACAGTACTGTATACTGAAATGCAAGTATATATACAGTAACATATATTTAAAGTAATGTGTTATTTTTTTAATTATTTTTAGAACCTTAAACGGATTTTCTAAGCTTGTTTTAAAAAGAATAAATTATGCATTTAAGATTCAATCAATAATATACCGTTGTAGCATACTGTGGTGGTTTGGACTCAGATTGTTTTACCACATTGAGGTTAAAAGAATCTAACTTTCACCAGCAGGCTTACTCATACCTTGTGGAAGCCATCTGTGTTTCAGAAACTTAACAAGTTTTAATGCATCAAGTTTTGACATGCCCAGCTCCTGTGTTAGAATATCCCGATCGAGTGCGCTAAATATTTCTCCGTCAATGTTGTTCAGATCAAATTGCTCTATGTATTTGTCCAGTTTCAGCAAATGAAGGCAATCTATTACCTGTTCTTTTGTTAATGTGGAGATGTCAGATGGAATATCAGATAATGTCGCTATTTTAGGTGATGGGAGGGAAGAAACATTATCTTTGACTTCATGGAAGAAATTGCTATCTACTGGTGATGTTGATTTGTCTTTGTTACTTGGTTTGTCTGACTTGACGAGCACCTCTAGTTTTGGTGTGTTTTGGTTTTTAACATTAGTTGGTTTTGTATTCATGACCTTGTTTTTTTGCGTTGGGATTGGTGGTAAAATTTTGCCTCTTGAAGATACTCTCCTCAAAAGATTTGAATTGTCAATGCCTGGAAAACTTGTTGATGTAGCTCTCTGTAAAATTTTTCTCTGTTCTCCAATATCTGGTGATCTAGAGGAATCAGTGATATCCACTGGTGTGGTTGGATTCTTTAATTCAGAGGTTTGACCAGATGCGATCTTTGAGGTCAGTGTCGGAGGTGTACTGGAAGGAGTCATTTTGCAGTGTGGAAGAGCAATGGGCTCTTTCACTTTTGCAACTGGCTGATTATGGTTTACGTTGCTTTGACCAGATATTTGAGGAAGCGTGCCTGCCTGTAGACCGTGATGTTTTGGTGGTTTGAGAGCTACTTTTGCAAAGTCTCTTTTTTCTGTAGGTTTTGTTGTTGGATCGCTGCATTCAAAATTTTGAGTGATATTTGATGTCTCTTGTTTCAAAATTCCATCGTCTTTTACTGTTATTAACTTTAGTAATTCTTCCTTCACATTGAAAAATTGGTGCTGAAAGCATTCGTTTGATACTTCTGTTTGACTTGTTGTTTTAAGCGACTCATCTCTGTCAGATTTTTGCTGGCTTTTTAAAACTACAGTTTTGTTGATTGGGCATACTTTGATTTTATTATCAGAGGTACTCTGCATAGGTTCAGAATAAGTATTTTCTTTCTGTATTGGGCATGGTTTATGCAGGTTCTGACCTGATATTTTTGGAATTGGTGGCAATGGTTTTGTCTTAGTTGGTTTATTGCTAGTATTTAGTGATGAATACTGGTTGGTATTACCAATCTTAAGAGAATGTGGCAAAGTTTGGAAACCACTATTTGGTTGTAGGTACATGTATGCATCAGATTTTAGAACAACTTTCAGTATTTTTCCAGTCAGATTATCGTAATTGCCCTTTCCTAGGCCAACACGGTTTATAACTTTTGGTGTATAAACATATATCTCTGGGGAAAAAAAACAGAATTTAATATTATTATTAATAAAAAAATTGTTATTTTCATTAAACATTTAGTACTTCTATAAATGATTTTTTTTATTATGACTTACGAGATTCTAAACATTTTTAAGACCACTCTATTGTAATCAAATGCTCATTTCAACAGTAAATATGCAAAATATAAGAAGAAACAATGGCATAGCAGGAAAGGATAGATTCATCCATTCTTTTATGCTGTCAATCATTTGTTTGCTAATTCTGTGGCAGCATAGGCACAATGTGGAATTTTTCCAGCTTGGTAAAACAATCTCCAAAAATCAACCCATAATTGCATAGTTATTTTTCTTTTTTCCTATGAAATTTAAACTACTAACCGCTACTGTTGTCAGTAAACGAGTCAAAGTTAACTGTTTTTTCAATTTGCAATTTCATCTCGTCTTTTATGCTGTCAATAGTGTGTTTGTCATTCTGTGGCAGCGCAGACGCAATTTGAAACTGTTCAGCTCGGATTTTTACCAGACAGCAAATAGCTGGATTAATCTTATCTGAAAAAAAGAAAATGGTTAATATTTTAGCAAATCACCATAAACCAATCTATTCTGCACTTTCTCATCAGCCATTCTGTTGCTGCTTTCTCCATTTTTACAGGTTTTTTGTTGGTTGTTGCTCCACTGAGATTAGGTCTTTCATAACTGTATCTTTGCTAGAATCGCACATGTTGCCAAACTTGCTACTGTTTCCACTTCTTCTCCATATTGTCTCCCACTCTTCCTTTTTTAGGACACCAAACCTATAAAAACTTTAATAAACCTAATAACTACAACCTGTTAACTGCCTCTTCTCGTTGCATGTTTTACTTTTTCTAGGCCTAATTGGCTACTAAAAAAAGAAATTTCAAGTTAATATATCTTTAGGCTTGTTATCTGGCAAACTTCTATGGTTTGGTTGAACTCCATTTCCATTTGACTATATCTGATGTATACAAAACCATCTCTCTCTCTCTCTCTTTTGGATTGAAAAAGAAAAACATCAAAATGATGATGAAATTCACCATTCACCAACTATCAAATTCTTTTTTTGCAAAAACCTGTGACATGCTTAATTATGGTCATGATGACATCACATCATGACCTTATATAGGTACATCTTGACTATATATGGGCATACAACAGTATTTTTGTCTGAAGAAAATTTGATAATTTGGATAGAACTTCTGCAGGCCTCACCCCTGATTCCCATAGCTCCTCCCCTTGGCCCAAGGATGCCAAGTACCACCCTTAGTGAACTTTATGAATTGTGCAGGCTTAAGGATATCTTCAACCTGGCTTACCTTTAGATATGTGTACTGCAAGGATGGTATTCATCTCGTGGATTTTCATTAGAGTGATTTCACTAAACCAGGCTAGTGGTAGCTTCCTGTCATTCATTGTAGCTGACTCAAAGCTCAGATTGTCTAGGCAAGGTCGAACTCTGAGGGGCATTTCGTAGTTCTCCAAGATTTTATCAAGTGACTGGACATTTGTGTGGTCATCTATTTTCTCAATGTTCTCCATCTCCATATTTTTAAATAAGATTGGGCTATTTAAAGGAAAAATGATGTGGTTTCCATGGCGATCAATGGCAACAACTCTTTTAATTGCCCTTCGTTCTTGTAACCAGTAAAACTAAAAAAAAAGTAATGTAAAGTTGTAAGGAATATTTATTTAAATTAATGTATTGACAAATACCAAAATAAGCAATAACATTATTTTAATTCAAACTAAGCGCTAAAGTAATATTAAACACACCAGTAACTATCACTACCACTATGCAGAAGTAAGTGGTAGTGGCTAAATATTGTATGTAGTACATTGGACGTTTGCCTTTTTCTGTAATTTATTATGTTTTGTCCTTGAATATTACTTATGTATTGAGAATAAAGAAATAAAATAAAAACTAATAGTAGGTAACTGAAGTGGTTGTGTACTATTTAAGTGGAAAAACAAAATAGTAAGTGAAGAACAGTAGGTTTACCTGGTCACTGTCAGGTGAATTTCCTTTAGCTTTTTTATCTGAATCAGATGGTACCATTCTGGTTAGAGCTGGCATAGGGATCCTAAAATCCACAAGATCTGTTACCTGGTATGGCTGCCAATTCCAGATGATCTTAGTCAAACATTTATAGATCTCCTCATGATGGTGGGATTCTCCAGATTGATGGGTTATATTAGCTGCCATGATTCATGTAACCCTATGGTTTGCGTGTGTGGTTTTTTATTGTAATATGGCGAACTTTCTGTTTTAGTCTTATATTATTGAAATTCATAACGAGAATGAAACTAGGCAATTGCTTGAGAAACTTAAACAAACCAAAATTTATGATTTTCATAGAACTTTTAAAGTAGATATTTGGACACTTGATTATATAACCAAGTCTTCTTTCTAAGGTATAAAGATTACTGATCATAATTCATCTAAAAACATACAGAAATGACAACAAGAGCAACAAAAAACAAATGTACAGTATTATAAAAAAGAGGAACATACTTTATAGTCTATATACGGTAACCATTTTTAAGTGAAGGTTGAGGATTGGTTATCAGATATATAATCTTTGATTTTTAATAAATAGATCATGAGGAATGAATAGTAATGGTTGTATTTCCTAATCTAATACTTCATGATCTATAACAAAGTCTTGATGTAAAGGTTTTGTTTGTGTTACGCTATGTTATTATCTGGCAGTTAAGCCTATAAGAGTGATTAAATCCGGTGGAGGTGCGTGATGGCTACTGCTACCACGAGGTAGGGGGCAGCCTATTGGAAAACGAATTCATGGAGTTGCATTTGCGTTTGAAACGCAAACATGCATCATAGAGATGCAGCACGCATTTGATATAATGAATTATGGTATTTTGAAGGACGCCCTCTAGAACGTAGTAGTACTTTTAGAGATATAGTAATGTACAGTAATGGCAGTAGTCACACGCTTCCATTGGGAGACTTTTTTTTTATGGTGGTGGTAAACCACCTATTATATGCTCCTGTTCAAAGTAATGAAGTTACCAAGTTACAATTTCTAAAATAGTTAAAATGAAAAGGATTTTAATATATTTAACAAATCTCTCTTATGTTAATATCCCATTATTTTTTTCTGATAGATTTTTTTTTCTTTTTTTCTTAATTCATTCATTATTCAACAAGGCAATACAAAAGAGACAAAACATAACAATCGTACATAAAATCGTATAAGCAAAAACAATTAAATATTCATTTTGGTTTTTGACAATGTAATTTATCATATATAATGTTTATATTACATCAAATTTGATGATTGTTATCAGCTTAATGTGAAACTGATATTTAAATATGGTAATGAAAGTGAGTTGATCTCATTACAAATTCTAACTTAGTAGCACAGATATTGTTTATTTTTCTCTCAGCTTCCTTATTCTAGTTTTTTTATAGTGTTTATTAAATGTACTTCATAACCATAAAACATGATTTAACGATTTTATGCTTCTGACATTTCAGATGTTTTTTTAGATCATTAATCTAATGAAATTATTCCAAAACCAATTAAAAAAATTTACACAGCAATTTTTGATTCTATAGACCACATGCTTCAATGCACTTAGGCAGCTGGAGGGTAAAACATTTAGCGACATATAGGAAATTAAACAGGAAAAACAATATTGTACACAAAATACAGAAGCTTTAGATATGACAGTAACAAAATTAGATACAAAGTTGATAATTTTTCTATTTTTTAAATTATTGGTTTGCCTTGTACCTTATGATTCAGATAACTTGAAGAACCAAACCATTCAAAAATGTCTTGTATACTATCAAACTCACCAATTGCTTTACCGTACTCGTGCGAATAAGCACCACTCATAACGAGAAAATTTCCTTAAGCGCCCCGTTTGAATAAGCACCCCCTTCTAATTTGAATAAATGCCCCCTCAATAACCCAATCAATCCTGGGACTGTGGATGTTGGCATGAATTGAGGTGTGGAGTGGAATCACATTCTTCTTTAGTCAATATCAAAGTGAGGATATTTATCTTTGACAGAATGATGAGAGCTCCCTGGACAGACAGTTTATTTCCAACTTTCATCTTCTTTCATTTGTCTATAGCCTAGTCCTACTACTTCTTTTCCGACAATTTGCACCTTTAACACATTCTCATCTAAGTATTCAAGAAAACCTGCAATGATCATGCCGTCCTGCTATTCTCAATCGACCGATGGTGAACAAGCTAACCACCACCACTAATTTCATCTGCTATTCTGCTGTTATGTAATACTGTACACACAACATTCTTGTCATGACAAGCCATGCTCTCTGGACGATTATCTTTTCCGCCGCAGCACCATTCGTAATTTGCGGTTTCCTGATGTCCTTATTTAATCGTTTTTCATTCAAAATGTGCCGCTTGGATTTAATAAGTTATCATAAGAACCCCTCAATTTCCATCTATTTCCATAAGCGCCCCCTCAATTTTCACTCTGTTTTTATAAGAGCCCCGTTTGAATAAACGCCCCTCAAAAAGTGCAAAAATTTATTTTAAGCGCCCGGGCGCTTATTCGCGCGAGTACGGTACTTGAATTTTGCTATTTACAAATAAAAATGTTTCTAAAAAAAAATCCATTTTAGAAAGGCATAGCTAAGTTTTGTATAAAAATGTTTATCCATTGATGAAATAAAAAAAAATAAAAAAAATTTAGCTGCTATTGGGCAACCATTTTTGGTCTATAAACTTACTTAGTTTTATAGCTTCAATGTTTGTTAAGCCAAGATCATTGGTAAGTATATCTTTTGAAAGCTCACAAAGAATGATGCCATCAATGTCATTTTCCTTAAATTTATCAACAAGCCTTTCCAAGTGGAGAAGGTGAAGACAGTCTTTAACCTGATCTAAAGTCAGCATCCTAAGATCTTGTGGTAAATCATCGTTTTGACGAATTGGTCCATCCTTTATTTTTAACTTTTCAAACTCGTGTGTTGTACTGGTGTCAATTTTGTCACACTTGCATTCTAGCATTGGCACAGGAATTTCATTGTAACTAATTGACAAAGGGATTTCATAGTAACTGTTTGACGAAGAGACTACAACGTTTGATGGTGGAATCATTGGTAGTTCACGTTCGTAGCAATTAGGTGTGCTGATTGGAGTTTTAGACAGGTTGGGTTGGTTGTGAATCGATGAAACTGATGGGTATATGGCAGAACTAATCAACTCTGAGTGACTGTAGCATTTATCTGTATGCTGCTCTTGAGTCTTATCAGGAGTAAGTGGTAAATTATTTTCGGGAACACACTGAACTATTTCAAAATAATTATGAGCCTGATCCTTATTACTGAGTATCAATTTTTCATATTTATTTTCCTCATTTTTTTCCCATTGTTCTATTACCGGAGGAATCTGTTTATAGCATTTATTTATGGCCTTTTCCAATGTTCCATGTGATGGCTGTTTTAATAATTTCCGTATGTTTTTCTTGTACTTTCTTTTTTTTCCCCCCCTTGATTTACTGGTTAAATTTTCAGGATGTGTATTTATTTTGTCATAAGATTGCATGTCTTCTTGGTCTTTGCTACCATTACTACCCTCCTTTCCATTCCTAGCTTCAATTTCTTCTGAACTCATTAGCTGCATGCTTTGGCTTTTTCTGTTATTGTATTCCTTTGAATATAAAATAATTCCTACAAAAGTAGCAAGAAACAAAAAAAAGTTTAAAAGTTGGTGTTTAGCAGCTTTGGTCTCTTATTAGAAACATATTTTTATAAACTTCAAGTGTGGTGGTTCATCTAGATATCACAAAGTTGTGCCAACCAACTAAATATTTCTTAATCTTTAACACACAAGCTAACCCTTTATTTGGAGACCAAACCCTGGAGACGTACCACACCTTTTCAGGTCCCAAATTGGAGGGTGAACAGTAATTAGATTGATAAATGTTTATATGGTAAAGAAAGAAATAAAGATATATTAGAAGATGGGTGCACTAACTGGCCAAATATAAAATTTTATTCAATATATTAACCATTGGCAGCAGATTTGCAAAACAAGGTTTAAAAATTATCGCCTAACTACAAAAAAAGAAATAAAAATAATAATTATTGTGAGGAAAAAAATTATTTTTTAAACTTTAAAGACAAGTAGTACCTGGTAATATAGGCTCATCATGAAAAAACTGAGTCCACTTTACAGAGGTGTGTGTTTTGAGACCTGTGCCCAGTACAAATGTTTGTTGAGGGTGGTGCCTGATCACGGATGGTGAACAATCAAGGATGCTCATCTCTGGTAAAGAAAAATATGCTTAAAGCCGGTTTTCCACTAGGCAAATTTATTCGCACGGATCGAAAGCGTTGGTTCATGCGCATGCGCGTTCACATCCCTATCGGAGTTTTTGCGAAGCGAAAAAATTCGCAACCAATTAGTGCTCAGGAAGTGACACAACGCTTTGATTCGCACAAATAAATTCGCCTAGTGGAAAACCAGCTTAAAGCCTTGTCCAGACAATTTTATTTGACCAAAACATGTGACATGCCTAAATATGGTCATGATGACATCACATCATAACCATAACCATATATAGGCACATCATGACTAAATATGGGTATACAACAGTTTTTTTGTCGAAGAAAATTTGATGTGGACAGAGCTTAAAGCCCTGTTCAGACTATCAAATTTTATTTGACAAAAACATGTGACATGCCTAAGTATGGTCATGATGACATCACATCACATGACCATATATAGGCACGTCATGACTAAATATGGGCATACAACAGTTTTTTTGTCGAAGAAAATTTGATGTGGACAGAGCTTAACAGACTTTTTAACTTTAAGAATCTTAAATTAATAACCAGTCAATTTTGATAAAAAATTGTTTACACTTTGTTTTTCGCAAAACATGCCTCCCATTAATAACAATATAATAGGACTGTAACGTTGTATATTAGTTGTGACGATGTATAGTATTTGTGAACTGTTTATGTCATGACCCAATACATATATATATATATATATATATATATATATATATAGAATGTAATGATATTCATTATTTGTTAAAGCAACCTACAGTGAATTTCACTGTTGAGAATAATATGTTATACAGTTATGCTTACTATTTTATTATGTCATTTTAGGATTTTTATTTTGTACAGTACGTTTGATGAGACTAACACTGTAGTCTTAAATAGGAAGGGGGGATGTAATGGAGTACTGTGTATGTAGACCTATTATGTGTATTTAATTGTTAATAATTGGTGATTGTAGAATTCTACATTGTTTGTTACATTTGATTATATCGGGTGGAGCAACATTAAGGAAGTGAAATGTTTATTTTATACATACACATGGTTATTTAGGAGACAATGCAAGCTGGCAGATGCTGGGCATTGTATATGTCACTGTATAGAGATCATTGATATTTTATGATTGGTTAATTTTGTACTACACGTCTTCTGGTTGTACTGTACTTGATTTAAACACAATTATCACACTTCTTGGTCATCAACTCCAGCAAACCAATGTACTTCAAACAATTCAGCCAACACAGATATACTGTAATTTCAAATCTTAACTTTAATGTCGACCCAGCAATCAACTTAACAGAGGCATTCACGGCGCCCTTGCCGGAAGAGAGAACTTCAGTCTTGAAGTGTTGTACCAAACTTAACTAAATTCAAGTTTCCCACTATAATTATACCAAGCCATCATTGGTATGTAAACCAATCACATACAAGCCTATAATCACATGATCACTCATTAACCAATCATAAAATATCAATGATCTCTATACAGTGACATATACAATGCCCAGCATCTGCCAGCTTGCATTGTCTCCTAAATAAACATGTGTATATATAAAATAAACATTTCACTTCCTTAATGTTGCTCCACCCGATATAATCAAATGTAACAAACAATGTAGAATAAATTCTACAATCACCAAGTATTAACAATTAAATACACATAATAGGTCTACATATACAGTACTCCATTACAAGGACTATTTGTAAATAAAATAATTTTTTCTGGCATTCTTTTGTCACTCAATCAAGGAATCAAGGAATATTTATTTTTGACAGTACTTGATATAGTCAAAATTTGGATTCAGGTGCTTAAACAATGGGATAATATGTAAATGATTCATGAACTGTTTAGGAATGTATTGGATGCACTTGTTCATCTGCCGCGAATCCCCACGAACACTCATGAGTACACCCCCCCCCCCTTATATTAGTTAAATTTTCAAGCATAGATTAGTTTTTTTTTGTTTTCCATCCAATAATATTCAACTGGCTTTCTTTTAAAAAATACTATACTAATAAAAATCATGTGGCTCCGGTTGCGGATTGTGTTCATTAGAAGTTGCAAAATTATTCACTGACCTTTAAATAGTAAAAACCCAGTTAGGAACGTCATGCTGTGTTTCCCTGAGATCTTCATGGATCTGAAGTCATATCTGGTAAACTTATTCCAAATGTCATCATTTTTGTAGTTGTAGAGCGTTGTGTCACTGATTTCAATCCATTCACCCATTTCACTTTCCACCAATATATCAGTAAGCGGCTGATATTCTGCCGAGTAAACAGAGAGGAAAATATTAGTGATGAATGAGAAGTGAAGTTATGAATTATTCAAAAGATTAATGTTACAACTCCTTATTATATTTATTGTTTATTGTTTTTACTCCAGATATTTATTATGTCATTGTAATTGTTCTGTGAAAGTGATGGATTATCCTATAAAATATTAATCTTTGTTATTAATTGTCACATTTAATTAATATATAATGCTAATTACTTTCATATTCACTATTTGATCTCTTTATTTTGAAGTTATTTGAGATGGGAATACTCAAACATTCTCCTTTGTGAGATTCCATGATAACTCTTTTTTGTTCAATTCCTCCACTTATCCATAGGATCTATAAAAGAACATGTAAATAATAATATGTTGATAGGTTTACTACACAAAAATAATTTGATAATTAGATTTAATAATAATAACGTAACTGGATAATATAATAATATAATTTAAAAGCATAGCATCTCCTATAATTAGTGCCAACAGGTCATACCTCACCAGTACAGTAACTTTCAGTAAACTGGTCACCATAGAAGCTGTCTTCAACCTTTGCAAAGACAGGAAATACACACCGAGCATATATATCTTGTACAGTATAAGTCTGTTTGCTCCAAATTATTTCCTCAATAGATGTCAGTATTTTCTGCAGCTCATCTTCTGGGACGCCTGAAGCTGTAGCCATGTTTTAACTTGCTGAAACCTGAAAGAGGTAAAGCAAGGACTCTACTACTAGTACTTGAAATCTATTTTACCAAAATAGATTCCCTATGTGCAATATATAAATCATTGCTCCATATTTTGAATACTGCCATGTTGTCTCAGTGTGCCCAAACGTATCTCAAAGCTACCAACTTCAGGTCATGCAAAACAGAGCTGCCAAAATAACTAAGAGGACTAGTAGTGAGTCTAGCCAGAAAAAAACTTTGCAGAGCCTTACATTTGACTAGGTTATATCAGAATGTTCAAAATTACCAATAATTTAGCACCAACTTACCTAACAAAGCAGATTCCATAAAGAATGTTCCTATGACACCAGATAAATAAAAATCATCTAACACTACCCAAACCAAGAACAGACTAAAAAAAATACCTAGCCTATATCATAGAGAGGTGCTAAACTATTGAATGAACTTAGTGATGACCTCAAAATCTTGAATACAATTTCTAATTTTAAAATGGAAATAAAATATTAATTAAAAGTATTACAGTAGAAAATTTAAGTGTAATTAAGGTAATTTACCTAGTTTAGTTGTTCTTTAGTTTCATTTTAGTAATGTGATTTTTTATTTGTAATTACTTTTTTTGACTATTTTGTTTTAATTTCTGTTTTGTTGATTTGCACATTGTCTTTAAGGCCTTGTTGAAAAAACACTATTGAGTTGAACAAGTCTTTCCGTAATTAAATGAAGTTTTTATTATTGTAGAATTATATTTTCTGAACCATAAATTGTTATATTAGGTGTACGTTTGTTTTTGATAATGCAAAAACAATTTACACTTTTGCAACATATTTTGTATAATGGATCCATATTAATTTGTTACTATGGGATCATATTCTATGAGAATAGTGATATGTGAGAATAATGGCTATAGGGGCATTCAATTCAATTAACAAATATTGCTACCTACATAACACAGCCATCAAACTTGTATTATTCATCATTTTGAAGTTTTGAAATCATTTGAGAGAGATCTACTATTGTATCTGATTTTAGCACTAAAAAATTCAACCGTGTATAGTCAATTTGGTATTTAGCTCTAGAATTGTGATTTAGTATGATATCAACTTACACTACCTACTGTAAATGTAGTCCTGTATTAGCCAAGGGAACATTTGATAGAAAAAGGAACACAAAGCTATTAATCTCAGTTTTTAATTAACTTCAATGCTACTACATCCACAATTACCTCTAGGAAGTCCTGTTTTGATGGTTACGTTGAAAGCAATGACCACTCAAAAGAAAATGGAGAGTTGCTTCTTGACTGCTGTAATAAAAGAAAGTTTTCTATATTATACACATGGTTTGATCACCGTCAAAAATATAAACACGGCATAGTAATGATGGAAAAACAAAGAAACTGATAGACAATAACATTGCAAGTTCATATAGTAGATCTGAGGCGTCACCATTGAATTATGCTTACACAAAGCAACAGTATGTATATTCGGATTGACAAATGGAAACATATATATCCCCTGGATGGTGATGATGATCTAATAAAATTTGTTATTTAAGGAAGTAAGTGCACAATCTAAAAACAAAACTGTCAGAAAATGATTGTCATAACAAAACAAATGCAGAAAAAATGGCTGCATGCTTATGACGACAAAGCTGAAAAGATAATTGAGGCGATACTAAGTAGGAATGTTGTAGAACAGTGGAGACCAGCAAAAGAACATGGTGATGTAATAAAGAAAAAACCCACTGGCAGGTGAAATGCCCAAAGCTGCAAAAATATTTCAAAGATCATTTCAACCCTGACCAATCTAATTTTGCAACTGTGCTAGAAATTACTAACCCACCAGAATACATCACCCAGGATTCAATGGCAGCATGTACATGTGCAAAAAACTAATAGGTAATAATAGACTACCGATTACAACAAAACTCTTCATAATTATGTTTCATATGACCATGTCAATAGAGAATTGAATTCGTCCAACACAGTCCACAAAAGTGCAAAAGCCTACATTGCTAGTGAAGACCCTGCTGACCAATTTGAAACAACATCTGGTGTGTGTCGAGGAAGGAAAGAGAGCCCTAACTTGTTTAAGCTGCACCTAGATTTTGTCCTAAGAATGATGTCAAAATGTGAACATAAACAGCCTAAACATTAACTACCTCATCCCCACTAAAGCAACAAACCAGGATCAGATAAGAACAATAGCTGCGCATGGCCTGTACTACCACATTAAAATAACATCAACCTAGAATAGATTTCTCTTTTCTATGATCTGCAATGGTTTCAAAAATGCCAACTCATTCAATAGAAAGTTTCACAGATACTGTTGCTGAAGAAAGTCTAACAATGATAGGCAGTATAGAGTGAACAGCGACAGCCCAACTAGATTGCCCACTGCATCTGATGACATAATTGTGAAACATTCAAGATTCTTACATTCTATGATATAAAACAAAATATCAAAGGAAGACCACACCAGAGTGCCATCCGTCAGGCATTGAACGCCAGCCAAAGATGGCAATTTGCACGCAACTGCTTTATGCAAATCATGCCACATACGTACTTAATAATGCCATAGTTAGTTTGGGTGTCATGGCAGCTGTCTTGCACTAGGCAAGACTTCACCTAATATAGGAATGAACCCTCTCTGCCGAATGATGAGTTGTCAAGGTCGTCTTTACCTTGGAGGAGCATACCTGTTATAGGCCCTACCTTGGGTAACAGGTATTCTTTCCATGTGTCCTATACATTAATTACAGATGATAAATGCCATTTTTGTCTTTTCTGTGTACAGTATTATGGAACAAAAAAATGTTCTTAAATCTTGTACCCTCAGTCTATGAAGGGCACTGCTTGTTTCAGTTTTCCTAGGTGCAGAAAAAATGCGGACTAAATCTGGGCATATACTGTTCTAACAATCTTTAGAACAGCCCTTTCCCATGGAGAATGAATGCAAAAAGAAAATGCACGCAATCAACAAATCGTTGAGAGTGCCACCAACAATTTATTTTGCTATGGAGACTACATATTGTCGTAATTCTTTTGCGATGATTCAATTAGTGGTGTGATGTGAACATATATAGACACATTGACAAAGCTGTTTACATTTGCTCATTTTTGTTTATTATAATATAATATAATCTGTACACATATTTTCTGTACTACTTTTAAAATCACATAGAGACCTACAAGATTGAGATAACCCCAAGAAACATCTTATTCCATCAATCCACTTTAAAATATCTAGCATACCAAACTTTCCAGCTGTTTTACTATTATATTTTATTCTTAATTTGAGAAAAAATATACTTTATAGTATACAATATGCAGGTTGTAGTTTTTTCACATTTATTATAGAATAGATGAATGTGTGAGTAGGACACAAAACAAATTAATTAATGTAATTAAAAGTCTGGTCTTTACTCATCTTGCTTAACATTGTCAGTGAAAAATTATTGTCAGGTCTGTATCCAGGGGGTGCAATGGGTGCATACCCCCACCCGTCCAAATTGGAAAAGGTTCACATTTTTAAGAAAAGTTGAGTATGTCCTGAATAGAATATTTGTTGTCTATATTAATGATTTAAAAGGAAATGTGGCAAAGACAAGCCAAACCAGTCACTCGTCGCAAAAATCGATTTTGAGTTATTAATACAGTGTTAGAGAGTAAAATGATAGCTATAAAATGGTAAAAAAATCATTCAAATCGGACATTTCCTTATGAAGTTACAAGCGTTTAAACATACAGCAGTTTAAAGAACAATATATGAGAAATCACCCTTCAAAGTTTATGATTTCAGGCATTTCTCATGCAGAAACTATCATCAAATCTTTAAAAAGTGTTACTTTAACATTGAAAATGGGGAAAATAACAGCATAGAATGATGTATAGATATGTAAAGATTAGTTTAGTGCAATAAAATTGATCACCCAAAATGCCCCCCCCCCCACATCCCAATGGTATCCTGGATATGGCCCTGAATATATGTAGGCCTATTATGATTTCAATTTCAATTTCAAAAGACATTTATTTCCATAGAAAAAACACACAAAATATACAATGCAGTATGATTTGAGATAAAATCGAAAACAAGCTATGGAAGAATGCATGATCCTGAGAAGATGAAGATAAATATATAAATAAAGAAAAATAATAATAAAAAGTAAATAAATAACAACTCAAGTCCATTTAAGAGCAGAACAAATCGAATTATGACTGAGGATATAATAATTTAATAGTATGACATTAGGTGTAGTTTGATTTTCTTTGAGAATGAGAGACAAGAGAAGCAGCATTAAAAAGTGGGAGAGAGAGATTATTCATCATTGTAGGCCTGAATATCTAATGTTACGTTAAAATAATTAGTGTTGTGGGCAGATAGTGTGGGGTAATTGTGTATAGAGTAATTGGGAATAAACATATTGCATAATGTTTTGGAAGAATAGAATGCTTAGCAGAGAATACAAATTTTCCTTGTTGGACTAAATTAATGTCAGTGAGTTTGAGAAGATTCAATTTTTAAAAAATAAATGGAAGAGTGAAACCGAGATGTAGTGCTACCTACTGTATGATCCTGATAGCCTTCTTTTGAAGAATTTGGAGTTTGTTGATGTTGGATAAATATGTATTGGCCCAAACAATGTTGCAATAGCTCAGATAAGGAAGAATGAGGGAGCAATAGAGGATAAGGAGGATGTTATTGGGTAAAAAGGACAATCTAGAAATGATACAAAGGCTTTTGGAAATTTTAAGTTCTATCTTGGTGATGTGTTTTTTCCATGTTAAGCTGTTGTCTAAATGTACTCCTTAACATTTTGCTGATTGAACAGAGGGATAACAGAGTTAACCTACTGTATGGTCATGGAGACCTAAACATCTAGAAATATCTAGTACAGTATATTTAATAATGGAAGTCGAATATCGCTTTCCAAATGTTTGTTTATAGATTGAGGCTGAGGGGGTTCCAATTCATACAGGTCCAAATCCAGTGTCACCCAGCTTATAATGTATAAAATATGCATTCTGATGTCTGCCATGCTGTGCAATTGCAATCAAACAACCAGTGTAGTTAAAATGGTATCAGTAATCTGTTTTGAATTCCGTTATTTACAAGTTTTTAGAATAGATTTCTCAAAAAAAAAAAAAAAAAAAACCTTCTAGATTACCTAGCTATATGTTTTATATAAAAATATTTATTAATTGATGACATTTTTTATAACAGTTTCAGTTTAGCTGCTATTGGGCAACCATTTTTGGTCTATAAACTTCCTGAGTTTTAAAGCTTCAATCCTTGTTAAGCCAAGATCATTGATAAGCATATCTTTTGAAAGGTCACAAAGAATGATGCCATCAATGTCATTTTCCTTAAATTTATCGGCAAGCCTTTCCAAGTGGAGAAGGTTCAGACAGTCTTGAACCTGATCTAAAGTTAGCATCTTAAGATCTTGTGGTAAGTCATCTTTTTGAGAAATTCGTCCATCGTTCATTTTTAAATTTTTTAATCTGTGCATTGTGCTGGCACCAATCTCTTCATACTCGCATTCAGAAATTGATGAAGCAATTTCATAACAGCTGGTTGACGAAGGGATTTCAGAGTTACTGGTTGACAAAGGGACTACAATTTTTGAAGGTGGAATTAATGGTAGTACTTGTTTGTAGTAATTAGGTATGCGGACTTGTGTTTTAGGCAGGTTCGGTTTGTTGTGAATCAATGAATCTGATTGGCTCCAACATGAAATGTTATCTGCGCACTGTTCCTGAGGTTTGTCAAGATCAAGTGGAAAATTACAGTTATTTTTGGGAACACACCCAAGCGATTCATAATATTTATGGGTCTCTTTACTACTGAGTATCAATGTTTTGTATTTATTTTCCTCATTCTTTTCATTTTGTTCTATTACCCGAGGAATCCATTTATAACTTTTTTTTATAGTTTTTTCCAATTTTGTATCAGGTGGATGTTTTAATAATTTCCGTGTGCTTTTCTTGGACTTTTTTCTTTCTTTTTCAATTGATTTACTGGTTAAATGTTCTGGGTGTGTATTTATTTTCTCATCAGATTGGATGTCTTCTTGGTGTTTGCCACCATTAATATTGTCCTCCGTGCTCAATAGCTGCATGCTTTGGATTTCTCTGTTATTGTATTCCTTATGAGTATTTATTTTGTCATCAGATTGGATGTCTTCTTGGTCTTTGCCTCCATTACTACCTTCCTTCCTATTCATAATTTCATTTTCGTCTGTGCTCAATGGCTGCATACTTTGGATTTCTCTGTTATTATATTCCTTTGAATATAAAGTAATTCCTACAATGGAAACAAACAAAAATTAAGCCAACCAAAAAAGAAGCTAACCCAATATTAGAATTTCTTATGAGTGACCTAAATAGTATTTTCTATTTGTAAATTCTTTTTTAAATGACAATAGGTCTCCCAATTATTCTTAAAGACTACTATTAAGATGAGGATATCATGGTATATAGCAGCTTTGGTCTCTTATTAGAAAAATATGTGTTTTTAAACTGTAAATTTAGGTGGTTCATCTAGAGCTATAAAAAAGTGGTTTTTAACAAGCTAAATTTATGCAACCCTATATATTCAGGTCCCAAGGTGGTCTCAAATAGGACAGTGAACTGTAATTGGATTGATAGGATTGATAAATGCTTTAAGTTGATATGATATATGGAAGCAATATAGATATTCCAAAACTAAAATTTTATTTTATTCAATATATTAACCATTAGCTAATGGATTTGCAAAATAAGTTTAAAAATTCTCACCTAACTACAAAGAAGGAATAAAGAAAATAACTATGTGAGATGAGAATTATACTAAAATGTTAAAACATGTAATAATAATAATGTTATATTTATATAGCGCATATTGTACATGCCCCTATGACAACTGAGAAAATAAAAATAAAATAATAACAATAAAGTAAAATAAAAATAATAATCATGATGACAATAATAACAATGAGGCTAAACTACTCCTATTCCTTAAACTAATTAATGGTGGGCCGTTGACTCCGAGGAGCTCATCTGCCCATTGTGTAGTACCTGGTAATGTTGGCTCATCATGCAACGGCGCTAACTCCTCACAAAGCTGAGTCCACTTTTCAAAGGTGTGTGTGTTGAGACCAGTGCCCAGTACAAATGTCTGCTGATAATGGTGTTTGAACACAGTTGGTGAAAAATCTGCAGTGCTCATCTCTAATGAAGAAAAATATGATTTACAGACTTTTTTTACCATATATTCTCACGTATAAGGCCTTCCGTGTATTGAGAAGATTTTTGAACAATTTTGTATGTTGAGCATATAAGGTGATTTTGTGACCTTTTAAATGTTCATCAAAATATTATTTCCTTGCATTTAAAATTGCGTTCATTCAGATCCCAGTTAGTGGCTTCGGACAATCTGCACGCAAGATTAAAAAATGTGTATGTGAGAATATACAGTACTTCAAAAATTCTTAAATTAATAACGAGTCAATTTGGATGAGTATAATAGGACTACTTGTTAAAACAAAACATTTTTTTCCATTCATGATTTTGTCAATCAAGGAATCACATAATATTTACTGTCAACAATATAACAGTCGATACAGTCGAAATTTGGATCCAGGTGCTTAAACAGTAGTTTAATGAACTGTTTACGGTTGTTGTTTTTTTTTATACTAACAAAAATCATGTGACTCCAGTGGCAGATTGTGTCCGTTAAAAGTTGCAAAATTGTTCACTGACCATCAAATAGTGAAAACCCAGTAAGGAATGTCATGCTATGTTTCCCTATGATCTTCATGCATCTGAAATCATAACTGGCAAACTTATTCCACAGTTCATCATTTTTGTAGTTGTACAACTTTGTATCACTGATTTCATTCCATTCACCGATTTCACTTTCCACTAATTTATCAGAAAGTGGCTGATAATCTAATGAGTATATAGAGAGAAAATTATTAAAATAATGATAAATGAGAAGGAAAATGCAAATGAAATAATGAATGAATTAGACAAAAGTTGCAGCAATTAACATTCTTTCTTATTACCATGTATTCTTGTGTGTATAATAAGAGGCTTTAATAGCAAATATATATGTGCATCACATACAAATTTTTGATTTGATACTGAAATGAAGCTACTAACTGTTAGTATTAAAAAAAATAACCCTTCATTGACTCCATTTTTAGCCTGCTAAATGCAGTATCAAAACCATAAAATCTTTTTAAATCTGGGGGTGTCTTATACTGTACGTGGATGGCTTTATATGTGAGAATATACGGTGTATTTATTTTACTGTTTTTACTCTAGAGATATTTACTATGTCATTGTAATTGTTCAGTAAAAGGGATGGTTAATAATTGTTACATTTAATTATATATATGCTAATTACTTTCATATTCACAATTTGATCTCCTTATTTTGAAGTTATTTGAGATGGGAATACTCAAACATTCTCCTTTGTGAGATTCCATGATAACCCTGTTTTGTTCAATTCCTCCTCTTATCCATAAGATCTATAGAAGAACAAGTAGATAATAATGTCGATAGGTTTATTATGCAAAAATTATTAGATTAAACGTTAATAGTGTATATACATTGGGTAATAATATAATATCATTTCAAAGAATAATTCCTATAATTAGTTCCAAAAGGACATACCTCACCAGTACAACTTTCAGTAAACTGGTCACCATAGAAGCTATCTTCAACCTTTGCAAAGACAGGAAATATACACCGAGCACATATATCTTGTACAGTATAAGTCTGTTTACTCCAAATTATTTCCTCAATAGATGCCATAAATTTTTGCAGTTCATCTTCTGGGATGTCTGAAGCCGTAGCCATGTTCAAATTGATGGAAAACAAATAAGCGTCAAATATAAAGCTCAAACCTGACATGAACAAATTCAAGTGTTAAAAGGCTAGTAATATATAGAATCCGTCAAAAAAGAAATGCAGAACAAAACTATAAACAAGCAAAAAAAAAAAAAAAAAGGATAATGATCATGAAAGCCTTGTATTACGCTTACTCAAAGCAACAGAAGGTTTACTAGGATTGGCAAATGCAAACATATATATCCCTTGGATGGTGAGGATGATCTATAAAAACTTGTTGGAAAACAAGGAAGAAGAACAAAGTATACTGCCAGAAAATGATTAGCATAAACAAACAAATACAGAAAAGGTTACATGCTCATGAGATAATTCTCAGTATATTGAATATTTATTAATCTGTTATGTTTACTTACTTTTTATAATCTGATTGTGTATGATTGTCCTTTGCCTTTTCATTATTTTTTATAAATTTCTGTAATTTCAATTTACCGTATGGTTAAATTTTGTATTTTTGTAACTAGTGGAAAGAGGAAATGATTGCAACAGTACTGTTGTCTCGATTGGCCCCATTTTCAGGCCCCCCTATCGGACATCTCTGAATCCACCGTTTTGCATGTAGCCTGTACTACCACGTTGAAATAACATCAGCCTACAATAGATTTCTTCAATTTATGATCTGCAGTGGAATTTAACATGCCAAACCTACCAAGTTCAATAGAAAGTCTCGCAAATACTGTTGAAGAAAGGGAGGCCCTGTTGAATGACCCAAACAACACCCATACCAGAATTTTATCAACAGCAATAGACCAACTGGACTGCACATTGCATCCGATAAGACGATTGTGAAACATTCAACATTCTCAAATTCTATAATATCCCGACAAAAAAAATCAGAGGAAGACCACGCAGAGTTCCATCCAAAGGCATTAAACGCCAGATGGCAATCTATAAGCCACTGCTTTGTGCAAATCATGCACAAAGCAGTGCGCCGACTCAGTACGCCTGGCTAACACTTTACAGTAGTAGGCCCTAAATAGTAACAGCGACACAAGTTTACTAAAAAGTACAAGATTTTTTTACAATTATTTGAAAAAATTTAAAGATTACCACAAGATTTGAAGTATCCTAAATTAGGCCTAGTTGCGTAGCCATGTGACAAATTCGGGGACTACTACTTTTTTTCATCGTATGACGCACGGTTCCCCAATTGGTTACCACTCTGCTGTTCAGTTCATGACGTTCCGATTTTAACCTTCATTATTATCTTACAATATTATTTACTATACGTACCTAATATATACGGATTTTAAACAATACTGACTTTTAAAAATCCAATATTTTAATTGTATATTATTTTGAACACAAAACTAACTCGAAGTGGCCTTTCTACTAGATAGTACTACTAGAAAGTCGTTTCCCAATGATGCCGAACAGTGGGCAATTTGACGCTGAACAGTGGGTAATTCGACATCGGATAGTGGGTAATTTGACGTCAGACAGTAATTAAGAGGTCACAACTTTAAAATAGAATTGTTTAGACATATATCATTTGATTCTTAATGTTGTTATAACCTGATGTTGCATTTACATCCTTGATTACAGTATTATTTTATTTTAAGTGCTGGCTTAGCCAGTAGTATGTAATTATTTCATAGTACACTAGAAAAGTAGCCGACTACTACTAGTACTACTCGCTCGGCCTACCACTACTACAAGGGTTACTACTAGCAGTACCTTCTGAGCACGTGTGCGAATACATAAAAACAAACAATCAATTGACACTAATCGGTGACTTATCATTGTCAGCTTATTTAGCGATAGTTTATTTAGCGATAACATAGTTTAGATTTACATGGAAATAAACTGTTGATTGTTAATATTCATTGTTCGAAAAAAGATTACAAGCTAAGTGATTATAGGGTAAATTCCGTCGTTGCGCCGTCGATATACCGTCGATATGCTGATTACTGAAAGATAATCACCAACGAAAAGTCGACGGCAAATAGACGTCTACTTAATTACCACCGGGGAGGTCTAGACTTGGGTGCAGAGAGCGGGGCCCAGAACCACGTGTGTAAAGTAGAGTACTGGGCGATTTACAACTGTCCATTTTCAAACGGGATATAACATTTTTTTTTTGACAATTACTTATTTTTAGTTATTTTTCTTTTTCTCTTTTATGCATTGAACGCACCAAATTTGTGGGTGCCGCTGAAACAAAGGTGTATGTTCAGTTCAGAATAAATAAATAAATTACAGTAATATCGCAAGTTGTCAGTAAAACCTTTACTGGGTAGGCAATGGTTTAGCCTTACATGTTTTTTTTGTTTTTTTTAAATGTGTTTTGCATGAAATTCATGGAAATTCAATTAATAAACGTTGTTTTATAAAATGTAAATATAATTTAGCTTAGTATAATGCAAAATTTCATCTATTTGATCATGGACAACGTTTTCGGAGGCATGGGTCTTAGCAAGTGATCACTTTCAACGGCAAGAAGAGCAGTTGCTGTACTGGATGTTACCACAGCTTCACAGGATGGTGATCGCGCTTCTTAAAACTGATGGTGGCCTGCGACTCCCGCTGCGACTACATCAGAAATAACTTTAAAATCGGATTTTTTAACGTTATATTTGTTCATCGATTCGTAAAATCACTGATATTACGATATAGTCTCACCAATGCATGGTACTAGGTCTACTGAACGACGTCCCAGTACCAAACCGACTATTTTTTTAGCTTCGACCAGGGACTTTCCCTGAGTTACGTACTTCTGTCAGTTCTTGCACACACAGGTGGCGTACAAAGGGACGTTCGCTAGCAGGTAAACAAGTCCGTACTTGCGTATAGGGCTGCACAGTCAGTCGTATTATGATTCATTTTAGAGAGTCGTCTGGGCGCGTTTTACGGTGCATCCAATCGGCCATAGTTAAAGTGGAGGAGCATAGGCCAAAACGGACTATCAGCATCCAAACGATGTGCTATTCAAACAGTGTTTTCAGACAGTTTTGGTAGAACAATAGAAAACGCGTCTGAACGCTGGTTTGTCGTCTGTATTAATTGGGCAATCGCGCCTTATGGGTCCCACCTTGGGTGACAGGTATTCTCTATATGTGTCCTATACTAATTACAGTATAATATTATATACCGGTATATAGAACAATAAATGTTCTTAAATCTTGTACTCGCTGTCAGTGAAGAGCTCTCCTTCACTTATCCTAGGTGCAGAGAAGACTGAGCCTAAATCCAGGCATACATTTTTCGAGGATCTTCAGCCAACCCATTTCTATGGAGAATGCAACAAGAAAAAGCACGCACTCAACAAATGATAATCCACACAGACTTCCACTAGCAATTGCTAGGGTTGACTACCTATTGTCATTATTCTTTTGTGGTGTATCAATCATTCATTCATGTGATGAGAATAAATAGAGACACATTGGCAAAGTTGTGTACCAAAAACTCATTTTGTTTAATATATATATATATATATATATATATATATATATATATTTTTATTTCCTTCACATCCAACAGCAAGTACACTCGCCACTTACAGGATGAGAATCATGCTTTATAAACCAAGTCTCTTTATGAGGCTTAGGGAGTGGAGTTGGTTTCGCCATAAGAAAAATTCCTGCTGTGACAGGAATCGAACCCAGGACCTTGGGCTCAGAAGGCAAGCATCTAAACCACTGAGCAATTAAACTGTACACATATTTTCTATACAAATTTTTTATTAGTAAATTTTATTTACTATAGAATTGACTGAATGTGCAAGTAGGAAATAAAACAAAATAATTATTGTATTAATTAAAACTGCCCCCTTATGACAGAAGGAAGCAATCCACATAATTAACATTTTGTGCTATTTACTGAAACATCTTACAATAATTCTAGGGAAAATGCTCCCAGACAATAAAAATCTCAATGTATGAAGTAATAATGTATTTTACAACTAAGACCTTGAAAAAAAAAATTGAAATTCCATTTTAGTTTTAGTCTATAATTGATCACTTCCTTTAGTCAGAAAATGTTAAAGTTAGGCTCCAGAGGAAAAACTGTTTGATATGTTTGATACTCAAAAATCTGTATATCATTTACCATTCCCCAGTTTTTCATCAAACAACTTTTTTCTGTCTTAGAAAAATCAGTTCTACAACATATCAAAATTGTTTTTTTGTCCGAAAATCAAAAACAATAAGAAAGCAGACAAATGAAAACTACCAATCCAAAATAATAAAAAAAAAGTTACATTAAACAAAATGAAAGGTACTGTACAATATTACTGAATACAGGTAAATGCCTCTTTTTTTAAACACATTAATAGAAAGAGAATCAAAATTTTTGAAAGATTGTAACATCAATGAAAGAATATGTCGGGCTCTTATCCATGGGGTGCGATGAGTATATACCCCCACACTTTGCAAATTGGAAAAAAGGTCCACATTTTTCAGACAAAAGTCTAGAAATGTCTGAATATAAAATTTGATATTTTGTTTATTAAGTGATAAAAGGAAATCTTAAATCTTTAGATTATAACTAGCAATCTCTCTATAAGCCAGTATATGGGCATTAAATTTCTGTAGTAATAACAAATCAAGATTAAACCGGCTCTGTCCCCCTGACCACATTTTGTCTAATTGTGCACACCCTACATCCCCCAAATGTTATCCTTGATATGGCCCTGAATGTATGTAAGCCTATTATGATACAAAGCATCTAAATTATCTCTTAAGTAGCATAAAAAGTGAAAAACTGGTTTTAATTCAGGGATATGTACAATATGTATTCTAATTTCACCATACCATGTAATTACAGTGAAACCACCCACTGGTGTAAAATTGTATCAATTACTGTAGCTGTTTTTTTTTTTCAATTCTGCTATTTACAAATAAAACATATTTAATTGATTTCTCAAAAAATACAATTTAGTTTACATAGCTCAGTTTTGTATATGAAATATTTATTTTTTGAAAACTTTTTAAAAACGGTTTTAGTTTAGCTTCTATTGGGCAACCATTTTTGGTCTATAAACTTCCTTAGTTTTAAAGCTTCGATCTTCGTTAAGCCAAGATCATCGATAAGTATATCTCTTGAAAGATCACAAAGAATGACGCCATCAATGTCATTTTCCTTAAATGTATCGACAAGCCTTTCTAAGTGGAGAAGTTGAAGACAGTCTTGAACCTGACTTAAAGTCAGCATCCTGAGATCTTGAGGTAAATCATCTTTTTGACGAATTGGTCCATCCTTTATTTTTAACGTTTGAAATCTGTGCATTGTGCTGGTGTCAATCTCATCGTACATGCATTCAGGGATTGATGCAGGAATTTCAATGCAACTGGTTGATGAAGGAACTACATCATAACTATTTGACTCAGAAACTAAAACGTTCGATGGCGGAATCGTTGGTAGTTCTCGTTCGTAGCATTTAGGTGTGCTGATTGGTGTTTTTGACAGGTTGGTTTGTTTGTGAATAGATGAATCTGATTGACTAATTGATGGGTATATGGCAGAACTAATCAACTCTGATTGGCTGCAACATGAAATGTTATCTGCATACTGCTCCTGAGGTTTATCAAGATCAACATAACAGCTGTTTTCGGGAACACTAACATGCGTTTCATATCTAGGTGACTCGTCAGTGCTCAGTAACAATTTTCCGTATTTTCCTTCTTTTTTCTTTCCTTGCTTCATTACCTGAGGAAGCAGTTTCCGGCTTTTCTTTGGAGATTTTTCCGGTGATATATCTGAGGGCTGTCGTCTTAATCTCAGCGTACCTGTTTTTGACTTCTTTTTTTCTTTTTCCGCTGCTTTACTGGTTAAGTTTGGTGAATGTTTATCTGTTCCTTTGTCTTTGCTATTGGTACCAGCCTTTGCATTCCTAAATTCATTTTCCTCTGTGCTTAATAGCTGTGTACTTTCCCTAGCGTGTTCCTTTGAATATGAAGTAATTCCTATAATAATAAAGAGAAAGATATATTTTAGAAGACTATTTTAACCAGAAAATTTAAACCAGTGGAGCATTCCTCATGAAAAAAGAAAAAAACCATATTACATACACATTCTGACTTAAATGCCTGCACCTAACACCTAACCATATTTGTAAAGTAGTTTGAAAATGACAACAAAAAATTTCTTCTTCCAATTCAAACCACATTTGGAATTGAGGTTGTCTTTAGAAAGTTTTTATCTAGACCCAGAAATAAGTGGTCTTTAAATGGATGTATGGTCTTTAATTAGAGAGAGAAATACTAGATGAACGCAAAAAACACGCAGAAGAAAGAAATATTAAAGATAATTATAATTTTAAATAAAATGTACCTGGTAAAGTTGGATCATCATGTTTGATAGATTTATTCATGAATGATGCTAACTCATGGCAAAACTGAGTCCACTTAATAAAGGTTTGTGCATTAAGACCGATGCCAAGTACAAATGTTTGCTGATGGTGGTGTTTAATCTGTCTCTTATACACATCTAGATGTGTATAAGAGACAGTAAACCGTCAGCGTATGTGACGAATTACCCACGTGCATGTTAGTTGCCATGATAACTGCGCGTCGTGCGGCGGATTACAAAGGACTAATGATATTTTGCACTAACATTAGACTGAAATATATTCTTCATTTCAACATTAATTTTACCAAAATTCTGGTGAATTGTCGTTCATGAGACTCACTTCGCAGAAAAAATTAATAAATTTTCTGTATATACTCAAATGTTCGTTTTCGGCACCTTATGCCAGCATTGTCAAAATGACAGATTAATGTTGCATAAGAACATGAAATTTTATAAAATTCGTAAATTTTAAATTGCTATAACTTTTCATTTTCTTGTTCAATTTTCACAAATCAAATTGCAGTTTATAGAAGAAATAGGTAATTTATAATTGTGTTAAATATCTTATATAATATGTGAAGAGTAGTAATATTTAGTATTTATATATTATTTAGTGCTATCATACCTCACCAGTACTGTAACTGTCAGTAGAGTGGTCACCAAGGAAGCTGTCCTCAACCCTTGCTAAGATCGGGAATGAAGACCGAGCATATATATCTTGAACAGTATAAGTCTGTTTGCTCCAAATTATCTCCTCAACAGATTCCATCATTTTCTGCATCTCATTTTCTAGGATGTCTGAAGCTTTAGCCATGGTAAACCTAAAGGAGATATATTTTCTAAACCATATTCTATTAAAATAGTAATTTGTGGGAACTAATGGAGTAGTGGTATAGATTCAGTCTCTATACTAGTGGTGGATCTTTGATATATATTTAGGAGACACAAACTTTTCTAACAAAGGAAGTCTTGAAATTTCTAGTGGGAGCAGTGAGCTACAGGGCTTTGGACTCAAATCCTAAAACTTGACAATTGTTATTTCTGAAGACTTTTTTGTTTTAATGAATCAAGATTGGCCGGCCCAAAAAGGATGTTAGCTTCCTCTTTCCCACAGAAGCTACCATGCTCTTAACATTGAGGTCAAGGTTCAGTTCTCCTCTGGAGTTGCCTATGCATCCACATTGTTTACTATTGCAAGGTTCAATCAATGTATTGTCAATGTTAACTTTAACAAATGATTAAAAACCATATTTAAAACTCAATTATTATTTTAATTTCCTATATGAATATTTGAAATTTATTCTACTTGTTTGTTTTAAATAAGAATTCTGATTACTATATTCAAAATAATGGAATATTCAGCTGTAGGAACCTAATGTGTTACGTGTGTTCCACTGACATTTTACAATATGCATACATTACTTTTCTGAAAGTATTTATATATAGTATTATTCTTTCCTATATATTTTGTGGCAGTTATTATATACAAACAATATAAATTTAATTTCAAATGTAATATTAGAAGTTACGGTAATAGAGTTTTAAATATGATTTGTACTGTAGTTATTCATGTTAGTTGTTGACATTGGATTGTACCTTGATTTTCTACTAACCTTGTTGTATGCGTCCGCAACTTTGGGTAGCTCAAATTAGAACAGAGTAACTGCGATGAACATCTGTGCTATCTCTGAATATCATCTGCGAGTTAAAAGATTCAAACCGGTATGATGCAAACCTATATACTGCCACAATTGATGGGAATAAGTATTTTCAATGATGGTCAAAAAAGCAATTGGTTGACGTGATCAAAGTTATGATATCTGACTTTCATTTCCGTGTGCTATAAAATTGTAATATTAAACAAAGGGGTTTGGTGACCCAGTATGTAAAGATTAGTTGTTTGCTTGGTTGAACTTGAATGTAAAGTTTGCGCATTCATTGAAACATTAACAATCTCAGTAAAGGAGGTCTACATGCCTTTATATTTTCCATGTAGCTACAATTTAACTGTTCTATAATTTTCAAGAGTAAACATTTTTTAAAAATAGTGATCTATGAATAGACTCTCATTATTGCAACATTTTATTAGTTTTGATGCTTGCTTTCAGTTTGTAACGACTGTAAGTTTACATTTTGTTTTCTAGATATAAACAATATTTGTATCTCATGATAATTATTCAAATCTTTGTTCTCAAATTGATATATGTAATTTGGCATTTTTTAAGAGAGTTTTATAGCTTGGAATTCCATCCCCTATCATGTAAAGAGACCTTACTACAGTAGGTACCTTTAGGAGTAGTGTTTTGAGTTTAAACTCTTGAGGATATGTATGGTTTTATTTTCTGTATTCTGTACTTTTATGTGTTAATTGTGTCAGTTGGGAGGCTAGTGGTTTATAGACTGACTGCCTTTAATGCTTTATATTTACGTGAATGTGGATTTTATTTTAAGTCATTTTGAAACTGATTTGAAGGAGAGAGCACTGTTTTGAAGTGCTTGGTAGGAATGCATGGGTGATGCGCTTTATATTTACGTGAATGTGGATTTTTATTTTAAAGTCATTTTGAAACTGATTTGAAGGAGAGAGCATTGTTTTGAAGTGCTTGGTAGGAATGCATGGGTGATGCGCTTTATATTTACGTGAATGTGGATTTTTATTTTAAAGTCATTTTGAAACTGATTTGAAGGAGAGAGCATTGTTTTGAAGTGCTTGGTAAGAATGCATGGGTGATGCGCAAGATGATAATACTCAAGCAGTGGTTTTGTAAGTAGTGTCAGCAGTGGGGAGGAGTTTGGGATAGAGGAACATTTCCAATAACAGACCACTCAGGCTACTACCAACATTCAGTAGACATTGTCGCGTTGTCAAGCCTCACACGGAGCTGAGATAGATTCGTCAGCTAACAAAGTATATTTTATTTATTTTTTATTTATTTACAAACATATTTTACATGGATAACATTTTCATTAAAAAAAAAATGTTCTAAAAAATGGTCCATGAATTAAATATAAAGTAAACAATTTACAAATAACAAGAAGAAATATTTTTGGATTTTTTTTTTTACAATATTTGAATGAATTTAAACAAATCTGAAATATATTATAATTGAATTTGAAAATATATAGAAAAATATAATTATTTTATGAAAAGTATGGTTTAATTTTAAATTTTAATGTAAAGTTTATACAGTATATATTTTAATTTATAAAAGGACAAATATACAATTAGATTTGATTATAATAATTATAATTTTTCCCTTAAGTATGATTTTATTTTCGACTTTTTAAATGAAGATTAGTGAAGATTAATACTGTTAACATTTTAATTAATAAAAGAAGAAAAATACAGAATAATTAGATTTGATTATACATTATCATTATTTTACCTTAAGTACGATTTTATTTTTAATTAAAATATGACGTTGCCCGGCTTCAACCTCATTTCTGTTTGGTTGACTACCTAATGTCTCTATTATTTTCCAGTGTATTAATCATGTGAAAAAAATTACTTCAAATTTTTTCAAATGTTTAAGAGGTTACGCTCCTCAATATCAAATTTTATCTTCAACTATAGTACCCATACTAAAGGAACACGTAGCCAAACAAATAACAGTTTAGTCATCCCAACTTGGAATAATAGTCAAGGAAAACAGACTTTTCTTAGGCATCAAAAATGTGGAATGAACTTCCTAATGAATTAAAAATTAACTTTCAAAATATGTTGTTACATTTATTCCAAAACAATATTACTACATAATTAATGTATTTCATTGACTCTTCTCTTGCTTGGTTTATATTTTATGTAATTATATATTTATATTCTTTTTATATTTTGTTAAATATTTCTTTATATTGTATATATTTTTGTTTTGTTTAAACTGTACCACTTTGAAAATCAGTGTAATAGTACTGAAATTGCCTACAGTATAAAGAAAGAATAAATAAATAAATAAATGTGATGACAGCAATAGACACATGGACAACATTTGTTTACCAAAAAACGTTCATTTATTTTGTTTAATAAAATATAATTAGCGAATTTTTATTATTTGACATACTACTTATTTTGTCTATAACTCAAACATGCAATATTAGTAAAAATTCAGAAACTCAGCAATTTATCTTGACATCTTAAAAAAAATTGAAATGATAGAATATATTAAATTAATTTATTATTTACATAAATACATTTATTTACTGCCATGCCAACTGTAATACCATTTGCATGTAGTGAAAAACATGGTTAGAAATATACATAAAACTAGAGTACATTATTTTGATGTTAAATGAAATGAATTTAAATAAAACCATGGCAAGTATTTAAAAAATCGAAATTTATATTGATGATATGAAAATGTGATTTTTAACTTAAGTGAATATTAAATTAAGTGGTTATTAACTTAAGTGAATGCTATCTTGGCAACCATTTTTCAGTGATAAATTTGTGTAATTTGAGGGTTTCAATGCTGGTAAAATTAAGTTCTTTCTTCATCATATCTTGGTCGAAAGCCACGAGAAGACTTCCATCAACACCCAATTCTTCGAACACCTCCAAATATTTTTCCAGTTTCAGTAGCCTCAAGCAGTCCTGAACTTGGCGACCCGTCAGTGTAGAAAGATCATCAGGAAGATCTTCAGTGCCATGGATTTTGCCATCTTGTTTAGTTTTATGTTGTGATTGCATTTGCGCAGGTAGAGTTGAACTCGCATTCTCTTTATGTTTTGATTGTTGCTTGTTTTTGAAGGGTTTTGGCATGGAAAAAAAATGTGAACGTTTTCCAAATGGAGATGCATTTTTTTTACCTTTTGATTTTGTATTCTTTTCAGGAACTTCCACATACTCTGCACTTTCCTCAATTGGCAGCCTAATAGGTGATTTTGATGTGCTTTGATAGTCTGTCTTTCTGCTATATACTTCAAAAATAAATTGTTCTATTTTATCATAATCATCATCATCACTTTCAACATCATCATCATCCTTGTCGTCATCACTGTCAAAATCATCATCAAATTCATCATCAAATTCCTCATCATTGTCACTATTATGCACACAAGGTGGACGATATGTAGGTAATTCTTCATTACAGTAATCATTATCGTCATCATCATCATCGTCGTAATTTCTTAGCGATTGTATGGAAGTCCCAAGCAACTGATTTTGTCGAAAGTCTGACGGTTTAGGCGCTTTTAGTTGAGGCCTTTGAGGCAATGATGGGGGTGCTTCCTTTTCAGGAGTTTTTAGTGGCACAGATGGCCTTGTGTCTATTGGCACGATGCCTATTTGTTCAGTCTTTGATGGTTTTTTTATCACCACAGGTTTTTGCAGTAATTTAGGTTTCTGAATTATATTTGTTGGTTTAGGAAGAGTAGAAGGTCGATTTTGACCCTCAGATATACGTCGCATATTGCTGGTAGGCGAAACAAGTGTTGTTTTTCCTGATTTAGTTGGCACAGGTGGTGGTTTTTTGAGATTCCACAGCCCTTTTTTAATACATTCCAAATAATCTGGTTCCTCAACTGAACTTGATGGTCCAAGATTCTTGTTTTCACTAGTTTTCGTGTTTTCATAGTTTGGTTTTTGGCTTTTCAACCTTACTGGAATGTAGATCCGTTGTTCTTTCCTTGGGGATATTAGGACTCGTGGATTGTTTTTCTTTGTTGTTTGTCTATTATAATTTTTTAAATAATTTGCAGAAGCCTTTTGCGGTGTGTATGCATGTTCCTTTTCAATCTCTATGAAGTTTGGTTGAGCATTGATAATTATCTCTGAAATTGAAATAAAAAAGTATATGAATTTTTCAGAAACTCCTTACTGAAATAATCCTTACTGAATAACTAGAAATCATAAGGCTAGAGCTTATCTACAGTTTCTGTAGCGTAAATTGTATTTTATTTATTTATATTATTTCAACAATATTTTACGAGGGTAGTCCATCGAGCCGGAGTTGATCATTAGGGACCCTCAATACATAACACAAGTAACAAAGGAAATATAAATAGAAAAACAAAGAAATTAAAATGAAAAAAAAAAATAAATTAAAAGAATTAAAAAAAAGAATAAATAAAAAATTAAAAAAAATTAAAAATAAAATAACTAAGTAACAAAGGAAAAGAAATTATTACATATAAATATATTATATAAATAAAAATTTAAATTTAAATCAGATGAGAGTGATGCTCCTCCCCCATGATGGGATGCTAGTCCCATCATGCCTTGTTGACATTGAGATTGAAAATCCCCTATAAGGAGGACTGTATCACCTGGGTTTCCCTGGTAACTGATAAATTCACTTTCTGGGATGATGCTGAGAACCACATCTTGAACACGTCTCTCAAATTTGGCCAACTGATTATCACTCATATTAAGAGCAACTTTGAAGCTTATTTCACTGTAGTCGACTGGAATGCACTCGATATAAGTGCTAACGCCATCTATGAAAAAATTATATTTTAGCCATTAGATAATGTTATCAATGTTGAAATTATACCTAAATATAATCAAGATATTAATATAGTAGAGTGCAATGCAGCTGTGAAGTGTAGGTCATACTAAAGTGGGTATGTGCTGTCTTTAGCTCCATGGGCTTTATTGTTTTTATTTGTATATGTATATTCTTTTGACATATATTCTGTATGTACCTGGTTTACGAAATAAATATTGCAATAAAATGAAAAAATGAAATCATTAATGTAATTGGTTTCAAAAAGCGATGTAGATACAAAAAGTTGTAATTTTGAATGCTATATAGAAATGAAATTGAAAAAATACAATACAGAATTGAAATAACAATAAACGTTTATATAAATATATTAGCATTACACTTCCTAATAAGGCCCTATAAAAAAAGATATTAGTTTATCACCCTATCTAGGTTGGAAAAGTGATGAGAGAAGAAAAATATATATTTTACCATAGAAGAAGGGGGATAATTTGTTTTTATTGGGCCTAATGCTTCTCCTTTCCCCTCTCCTAACTCATTTCTCCTACTTACTATGTCATGTGAATACACCATTCTGTACATCCTGTGTAAATGTGTAAGGACATGTTAGAAATGGGATCATAGGCCTATACTATTTAACAATAGTATCTAGAGCAGGTTGTGGTATACAAATAGAGGGTATAGAAAGGCTATTATGTTTACCTTTTAGATTAATAGTAACCTTATACAGTGGCATTTATAATATAGCCCCATGATTCAACCAAATAAGGAAAAAGTTGTACAATTATATTGCATAGACATGACAATTGATACTCTTTATTTGATTCATATATATGGAAATTGCATTGCTAGTTATGGCTAACTTGAATTCCTCTCATTATACAATTGTGTAGGACTGTCCCAATAGCTGGCCCTCTCAAATATTACCACCCCAGCATACATGACAATATATATACAATAAATATATTACATAATATACACAGTTTTCTTTTTTTTAAAGATCATAATAGAAAGGCCTATCAGACATTCCTCTTTTCTATCCCCATGGCGATAGTACTAAATATGCCACTCTGTATATCATATATTTTATTATGTTTGTTTTTTTGTTATTGGCCAAGCAAAACAAATTTTTGTATAATTGGACAAATAAAAGTGTCTGAATACCGACTCGGGTATAAACCACTTTACTTAAACACAAAATTAGATTGCATATGGAGGTAGGTGACCAGAAAATGAAGGTAAATTTGAATCTGTAGTAGTTATATGTAGGAAATGATTTTATTTAAATAATTGAGATCAATCTATTAAGATATCTGCATATGGATAGTTTTATTATTAAAATTGATTTGGAGAAAGTCGTAGATATGTTCTATAATATAAATAAGATTTCTATAGCGCTCTGTCATGCACATTATTTTCCAATGTAAATTATTATATTGTCTACTGTTTTTAATTATGTTTCTTCAATATTTTTCTCTCTTTTTTTGTAAGTACTAAACCACTTTGGAAATCAGTGCTTCAGCACTGGAAGTGTTATTTCAGTATAAAGACAGAATAAATAAAGACAGAATAAATAAATAAGAATAAAGAGCTGTGTCCCTCCCCTTCGGGGAGAAAAACCACAATTCGTTGGAGAAAAAAAATTGAATGCTTTCTGGTTCTTGACTCACAGGAGCTCAAGTGTATCTGTGTAGCTTCCTTCCAAAAAAATCATAAAACAGAAAACAAGGAATTGAGAGAACCAAAACTAGGAAATTTCAGATGGCAGTGCAGTCACATGGGTCTTGAGTGCATGTTTTTCAAGGATGATGTGGTTTTAATGGAGCTACAGTATATTAATTAAAAATATAAGAATTTCACCTGTTGAAATGCATGTTCCCATTATGTATTTCATCACTCCTCTTTGTTTGATGTTCATTACAATATAGTCTTCTTCAGTGTCAGAGTCAGAATTTTCTTGGTTGGTACGTCTGCATCTTGCTTTAACTATCTGTGGCAGTGTCATGTCTTTCTTAAGGTGCATCTCTTCACATTGTGCCTTACCTAAAATATATTTTCTAAAGTTATTTTCAATCAACAGTATTGTAACATATCAAATGGTAAAAGTCAACATGCATGTATTGTACGTTTTATTCAAACAAAATGAATACATTGTCATTCGACAGAACATAAAATTTGCATGAGAAGAGCTAATGGTAAAGGTTATAGCATGAAGAATGTGAGTTCACATGGAGCGAGTGACAAATTTAATTTCAATTCAAATTCAATTCAATTCAAAAGTAATTTATTCCAAATCAATTAACATAAAACAGTACAAATTCAAATGCATCAAATGAAAAGAGATGGAATAGGACAACCACAAACAAGCAAAATACAGCTTTAAACTGTGGTGCCCTTTATATAAAAATAAATAAAAAAATAAATACAGTAATCAATCAATAATCAATTAAGTAATTGATTAGCTAATCAAACATTCAATAGGTAATTTAGTAAATAAATAAATAAAATAAATAGTAATAATATTAATACATGAAATTAATGTCATGTTATGGTACTGTAAATACACAATGATAAATTAGATAATTAAAAATTTAATAGTAAAACATTCGCAAATACAGATTTTTTTATACAACAGAGGCCTGTTTGATTATATTTATATGTTTACATGAATACATTATTATTGCAATTCTTTTCAAATAATTCATTATCAACTAATTCAGTCAAAATCAAAACAGCTGATTTCATTATTTTTTTCCTACATCCACATTTTACCTATGTTCATATACAGTTCACAGCTATATCGATACAATAAAAATTAATTGTCTAGTCGTAATCTTAGATGCAATAATTTTAACCCCTGAATCATAATGATTGTTTTAATAATAAAAATAAAAAAACAAACCTTTATTGATGTTAACTTTTAATAAATTGATTTGGGTGTTTATTGGTAGACTTATTTCATTGCTTTGTCCATCTTCTGCCACAAATCGGAATTGTTCCTGTACACTATGTAGATATAATACCTATAATAAGAATAAGAAAAAAAAAAAAATCATTGGTACATTATTGTTTCATACTAAAAATTGTTTATAGTTTTATTTAAAGTATATATGATATGGAGTTAGTACATATAACTATACATATATTTCATGTGATGTCAACCTTTTGCTCAACTTCTGATTTTGCAGTTTGCAGTGACCCTGCAGGGTCAATTAAAAGGATACCGGTAGATATTGTGCCTTCACAAGTTGAGAGAGCAGCTTAGCTCAGTCGGCTAATCTGGTGGTAGCCACTGTGTGTGCGCTGAACCGTGGAGATCTCTAGGTCCCCAGTTCAATTCCCATCGCTGCCTCTCTTTGTGTTTCAGCTAGAGGGCTGAAATACAAGTTACAATAGCGCACCGTCTTTCAGATGAGACGTTTAAGTCGTTGGTCCTGTGTGCATTATGGCCCATGTGCACGTTAAAGAACGCAGTACACTCTTCGGAAAAGAGTAGGGGATTGTCTCCCGGTGTACTGCCCAATCACCACCAGAAGGACCCCACTGGAAATAAGTCTTCTTCTAGACTGTCGTGGGCTATCCTTGGTGTTTACACCGAATAAATCCAATCCAATCCAAGTGGAGTGTCAGAAAAGCTCAACCACACCATGGTGGTGCTGAGGTACACCATTTTATAGCTTTGGTACTCTCAGACTGAATGTAATTTCCTTTTTTTCTCAAATTCGTTTATTTTCCAAAAATTGTTGAGAGCTTGTCCTGATTCGCCAACCCCTAAATTGAATCCACCCCCCATAATTATGACATACACTCAATGCCGTAGCCAGGATTTTTAAACAGTGTGGGACAATATCACGGTGGACCCATTTTAAATTCAAATAATGTAGACCCATTTTAGGCTAAATATAAGAAATCTGGACCCATTTTTCAAAAGGTTGACTCATTTGATGCATAAAATTGCATAAGTTAGACCCATTTTTAAAGAAGTGGACACATTCTTTGTGGACCCATTAGAAAAGTTGTGTGGGACTGTGCCAACTCTCCCAATAGCTACTCTTAAAGACTTCTGAGTATGTCATGGCAGGTGCCATGATGCTTAACCCTTATCCTGGGGAGAACACTACTTATGCTATTCTTGTAACTTAGTGAACTTGAATCCCCTACCACAATCACTTCCAAACTTCTATAAACATTATTATTAGCATACACATCCATACATACTTGATCAGTACTGAAGTCTTGGTAGAACCAATCTCCAAGGTCGCTGCTCTCAGTCCTTACTACCATTGGAAAAGATGCCATCTGCTTCACCAACTCATTTGGGGTGAAGCTTTTGTATGACCAGGAAATTGTAGCAAGCTCTTCTAGGACGTTGTCCATAGCACAGAATCACAGTGTGTAATGTCAAAGCATACTTACCTACCTTTTCCTTTTTCATGCATGAATGCAGAAACACCAGGATTCTTCTTTATATCCAATACAAAGCTTTGGATGTGTGCCCATTTTGTTCGGCATGCATATTTTTATGATGTAGGTGAGGTAACAGTACACAGTACTACACATGACTCATCAACAGCATATTAAAAATTTAAATAAATTGGATGGAGGTCCTAAATAACAACTTAATATAAGATCAATTCTGCCCCACCGTGGCAAAGGAAGCAAAGGAGTACTGGTAATTAAGGAATATTAAGCATGTTGATTTTGTCCCCTGCTTCCTTTTCTAGTTGTTTTTATTGTAATTTTTAGACTTTTACTTCCTTTTTGTGTTGCTAATTAATTGTTAATTAGTAGGATTTGAACATACTCAAATATAATATGTTCTAAATTATTAGTTCTTTTATAGTAACTAAAAAACTTGTTTTGAAAAATTGTCAATTACTTCCTTCTGTCATGGTGGGGCAGAATTTCCATTAGTAAAAAAGTTTCATTTAGTTGATGTACTCAGAAATATCTTCATGGTCTACACAGGATAATGAACAGAGCTTTAAAGTTATGTTCAGATATCTAAATACAACTCATAAGATCTATACCATCAATTAAAAAGTATTCTATGGTATAGAGCATTTAAGCATTAATGGTTATGCATTTATATAACAACAAAAGTAGGCTCCCAGCGGGAACATGTGTCTACTGCTTGACCTAGTTTTTATTTTTTTTGGCTACTTTTAACTCATCTACCCTTTCTGTGTACGGGGTGCCATTTGGGACATGTATAATTATGTTACAATTTAGCCATTCTGTAGACACAATTTTTACTTTAAAGAAATTCTGTAACTTCAGAAGAAATTGTGTATACAGAATTTTATCTTTAACTACAGAATTTCTTTACAGTAAAAATTTTGTTCACAGAATTTTATTCTGTAGCTACAAACTTAAATTCTGTCTACACAATTTCTTCAGGGAAAAAATTCTGTCCACAGAATTTTTTCCCTGAAGAAATTGTGTAATCATGCATGAACAGCGATGGCCAATCGAATGTACGGAAAGTTTTGATGCAAATTAGGGGTGGAGCTATTTTTTTGTTTTTACAACATAAGGAATATTCCACTGGTGGTTACAGCGGTAATAACACAGTGTAACAAACCTATTCACAATCTAGGCAACAGGATCCATTTTTAATTCAGGTGAACTAGTTTTTTTTTTTGTTTTTGTTTTTCTAGTTTTACATCATTCCTGAATTTTTTGTTTTCCGGTAGGCCTAGTAAGTAACTGTCTTACAATATTAGTACTGTATACTGTACCTAACCTAGGCTAGGGGCCTAGGCCTAGTTGGGCTTAGGAAAGCCCCCCTCCCCACCTCTCTAGACCAGGCCTGGCCTAGCTAGCTAGCCTAGGGCCTAGGCCTAGCCACAGAGCCTAGGCCCTACTTGGGCCTTAGAGAGGCAAATCAATGTCAGTTTTCTCTTTTATTTAATCTGTTCTCAGGAATCGGTCTACGACTATCTATTATAGGCCTGTAGCGTCTCTACTTTGTATTTAAACAGCAATATTGAATTTGTATATAGGCCTATAATCTTTTATATTTCACTTGTAAACTTACTCTCTATATTATACTGTATTCAGCATTTAAGGTCAATCAAAGGACAACAACCTGTTTTCCTCATGGTACCAGGAAATAAGATTACACACAAGTCAGGAATGTGCCAGGATGACTTATATCACTTCTCTAAACTTAAACAATGACATTATGTATTTATCCTTAATTCCTATTGGTTAGTCATTACCTCATCTTCGGTATATTCCCAAATATGGTAGGATGCTACCTCAATATAACAGAGTATTCCTACTGCTATTTACCACACACTTTCAAATTGTTCTTATACGGATTACTACCTCAACTTTACTTTGCAATATTTTGTCTTATTTTCTTCATCGATAGCCAAGTGTTTTTATAGCTTACATTAGGCATTTTTCACTTGAAATAAATTTTATCTACGGTATACAAGTTAGTTTGTTGTATTCTTTCCGTTGCGCCATACAACTACTAAAGGCCTATGTCTGTGATTTTTTTTTCTCATTGTTAGCATAGGCCTGCCTACCTACCTGGCCTACTGTCAGCTCTAAAATGTCCTAGCCTAGGCCTCCTAGGAGCTAGGCAGCGCTGTACTAGCCTATGGGGATGCCAGTCAAGTCGCCTCCCTCGAAAACTCGCCCTTTACCAACTCGCCCCCTACAAACTCCTGAATTCCTGAATAATAATAGTGAATTTAATTACTTAAATAACTGTCATGGTTACCAACCTGAGAGATTTAAAATGCGTGACTAAACAAGTTAATTGAGGGAGAGGGGCGCCAGGGCCCCGGGTTTCTAGGGGTGGAACCCCGGTGTGGGCCGGTTCCAGTGAATGCGGAAGACAGCACGCAACTAGATTCTACTTAGTGCGTGGTTGGCCGACTGGGTTGTTTTGGTGGGGAAAGAGAAATTTACCCTGCTGAATTGATTCTCGAAGGAGATAACGAAAGCTCTCTCTTGAGTCAAGCTACTGCCTTTATATATTTAATAAAACCAATTTCTTCTAATTTTAAATACATTTTCCCCTGAATTCATTATCACGTGTAGACTTGTGCTAAATGCGTGACAAATTTATGATCATGCATGTGTTTCTGCAAAATGCGTGTTTCATCCAAAATCACTTTGAAATGCGGGACCATCCTGCATGATGCGAGACGGTTGGTAACTATGAACTGTACAAATAACAGATCGTTTTAGTGAACTTTCTAGGACAGGCCTTATCTAGCAGCTCTCTGTGTTGGCAATTCACTTGAATAACTGTACACAAACAGATTGTTTACATTTTAGTTCTTTCTAGGTCAGGTCTGGTATGACATCATATTTTGTAAATTACATGCTCAATTGCCAGATGTTAGCAAAGTCTCTACTGACTCCCAAAGGGCAGCAGACACAAAAACTGTCTCAAGGCGTTTTTACACCACTAAAAAACTACAATAAACTAATTGATAAAGAAGTGCGAACTTGAAGGGGAAGGTGCGTACACCCCTATTTTGAGATGGCGGCATTGACAACTTTAGAACATTGCATACCCATTAAAATTACCAACTCAATATTTTAATTCAATTTTGGAAGGTTTCGTTATCAGTGTGTGTATCTTTTTAACATTCTTACCTGACTAATTGGAAACTTGTTGTAGAAATTGTAGCCAGATGAACTTCCAGTTATCTTAACTATCACAGGAAAGCACTTTGACTTTGTAGATAACTGACTAGGTGTATATGTACGCATTGACCACTCAAGATCACAGAGTCTTTCCAAAACATCTGTCATTGTTATTGTCAAGAAGTGGCACTTTAAAAAAATACCAGATATACAAGGTAGCCCTTAATATAGTTCATCAGAAAAGATGCCAACTTAATATGCAATTGCATGAAGTAGAAACAGGAAGTGTTCTAGTAGCACTAGATTTTTAGTTCAAATAAGATTAATGAAATGCCTGTCATCACAATACATAACAAAATTATTGTGTAGTTTCGAAAGCTTTTGTCCACCCTACACCCACCATCGCAAAACTAGCATGCTGCCACTATGTTAAACTGAGTAATTAGCATAAGAATGTGGAAGTATTGTATACTAAGTGCAGAGAAGTCATAATACTTTTAATTATTAACTTTGGCAATAGTAGGTGGATTCCATTAAATGACCCATCATTTTTAAGCTTACAATATGGAGAATATAAATATATTAAATAGTCATTTTTGATTTTTTGGTCACTAATGCTGGTTTTGGAATAACGAGCCTGAGTATTTTGGTGAGCAGTATTTTATATAGTTTTCTCTTCATTATCGATAGCCAATGAAGGATGGAACTTTAAAATATCAAATTTTTTATGATTATTTCTTGTGTATTTTTATGAATAAATTTTTTATAGAAATAGGTATTATTTAGTTTTATTTATTTTGTTATGATCCCTAGAGAGCTTGATGCGATGTGTTGAGCGATGAATCATTTTTAAACAACAATCCTCTCGGATTGCTACTGAGAATTGGTGGACTGGTGTTGAGTTGAGTTGTGCTCTTAGAGAGCGTAAAAAAATTCTTCAGCTTTTTTTCATTTTCATTTTATTCTATTCAGGAAATAAAATCACTAAACATTTATTTAAAAAAATAGATAATTAAAAACTACATATGTTAATTCCTAGGGTAATCCAAAAAAGTTTTAAAATGTAAAAAACTTATTTTCATTGGGGGCGTTTAAACAAATTTTAAACAATTCACTTAAAATTAACATAAAAACAATTAACAATTAATGGCTAAAAAATGTAATATATTTAAAAATGATTTTTAAAAAATGAAAAGACTTGTCAAAAAGTGAAATAATAAAAGAAATTACACATTTTCTTTTCAAACATTGCACTAAACTAGACTTGAAATTCTGTTGGTACATGTTCTTTAAGATATTTCCTCATTCCAAATAGATTAACAGGCCTGGAAGCCAGTGTCAGCAACACTATTATATATCATTTTAGGTTAATGTACAGTGAGAATAATATAAGTTAATTTATTAGACATAATTATAATTGTCCTTAACCAATTATTCATAAATAATATTGTTTTTATATTTATAGATGGGCTGGTAATCAATTTATTTTTAATTATGCAAATTAGAAAAAAATGAAATGTCTGCATCTCATCTCACTGAAAGTTTATAACTTTTTAATCACAACATAAAAGCTCATGTAATACTTATTCCATTATATTGTACATGTTCTTCACTTAAGAAGCATACAAAAATATATACATACATAAACATACATTAAACATTAACAATACATAAACATGCATGTTTTTTAATCACATAGATGGATATTCCCCCCTCCCCCCAAGCATTGCTTTACAAAACTATACAACACACAAAACAACAAGAAGGATTAGAACAGTGATGTAAGATGTTGGGCAAATGTTAAAATATCAAATGGGAAAGTAATTTAGATTGTGTTAACTACAAATGTTACAATATTCAAGAATAGTCTTAATAGATTTGGTAGAGAGTTTACACTCCCATGAACCTGCAGTAATAATACTTAGTTGTCTTTTATAATTCTCATGAAGGAAGTAAATAAAATGTTATTTAAAGTAGCTGGCAATTTTCTTATATAGGAAGTATCCCATTATATGATATTACGGCAGGTAAAATTGAATTTGATAGTACTTTTATTATTTAATTGCGGTACACCATATGAGAGTGTTATATCCTTCTATATTTACAGAATTTTTTTTTAATTTGGTAACTTCAGTACCAATCATATTGCAGATCAGTGGTATTGTCTATGATATACTGCCCCCTCACTGCACCTGACGGTCGTTGGCCGACGGTCGTAGGCCGACGCGATTCTATGAAAGATGCAACGCGACGATGCGTAACTGATCGTTTTTAATGAAGATCCGTTCAGGCGACAATCTGTTGTACGATGCAGTGGGTGCCCAGATTTAAACACCATGGACAAGGTCTAAAATACATTTTTCTTATTGTTATGCATATTTTTTTGGCTAAAGATAAATATAAAAGCTGATCTTCCTCTTTAGCTTTCTGTTAGTCGTCTTATTGCAGGGTTTGGAATTTCTTTAGGTTTATTCAATTTTTTCCAAGTTAACTATACTGACAAGTCCAGCAACTTTTTTTATACCTTTTTAGCGAACACGTCTTCCGCTAATGACGATAATTTTGAATAAAAATAATATTTTGTTTTAGGCTAATTAGTGCACCCACCACCATAAAAAAGAAAATAAATTTCAGAAAAATTTTTTTTTTTTAATTTCGCATGCCACTGTCTTGAAATCTCCAAGAACAAGATATGTGTATTTCTTCCTAATTATATAATTTAAAGCATTTAACCATTCCATTACTTCACTGTTTACATGCACCTATAAAATTTTATTTTTATTTTCTCCTCCATCTGAATGTTTTGGGCAAAACTATTTGCTAAATACGAAAACAAAATTTTATTATTTTTCCACGCTTCCCTGACAACCTTTAAAAAAATTAGTTTGTGAAACAAGGTATAAACAAGTATTGCCTTACATTAACCACAGACAGACAACTGTTTAGAATATAGAAAACTCAGGGTCTGTCAGTAATTTTTATAGTTTTGAGACAGATTAAAAAGAAAGTGCCTGAAAATTGCTGAAAATCCATCTGGGAGTAAATGGTGCACCCGAAACCCCTCTCCACAATGCTCAGTGCCGCCCTTCCCCTTCCCCCATCCAACATGTTGACTTATCTCAACGTTGTTGGATATGACCATTAATTGGACCACATTGATTATTTCTTACAAGGTTTGGGTGGTACTGAAGGTTTAACAGTTATTTTACTGCTTTTTATGTCTTCCGTTTTGTGAGAGGTAAGTTCATAGCCCAGAAAGTGCTTTGTCTTACAGGGTTTCGGTGCTACCTTTGGTCTCGCAGGTTTTGTCTTACAGGGTTTCGGTGCTACCTTTGGTCTCGCAGGTGTTTTGGCATCACTTTTATGCTTGTTTCCCACTATTTCTTCACAGTGAGTGAGGACATTGCATTTTTTGACGCCATTGTGTTCACTATTAGTGGAAATATTGCCCTCTATAGACTTACTGCTATGAGTAGATATTTCACTTTGAATTGACTCGAGGCTTCCACTTACTACTAACTTCCTACTTACTGTATCTGTTTTTCTAGGCAAAGGCATAATCGGCTTTAATATCCTACTTTGAGAAGTTATGTTATGTGATTGTGGTTGTTTATGACTGATTGTGTTCGTTTTTGTAGGCAAAATTGTTTTTAATTTCGTGCTTTTAAGAATTATGTCATTTTCTGAGTTAAATGATTGTTGTTCTTTATAACTTTGTGGCAAAACTTTCATAACATCATTTGCAGTTTGTTTATATAACTTCTTTAGATCTTGAACTCTTTCTAGACCAGTATCTTGGCCCTGTGATAGTGGATGTACAAATGGATTTGGCTTGTTTTTATCATAATCTTGCTGTGATTTATGTTGAATACTTTCTGATGAGTGTTTTTTCTCAGTTTTTTTTAGAATTTTCTTTTCTAATTTTTCATTCATTGGAACCTCTGCAGTTTTTTGTTTTTTGTTCTCTGCATCTACTTCTTGTTTCATTGGAATTATATCGTGTTTATTTTCTTCTGAAGTCATATACGTTTGTTTCTTAATGTTTTCTTTGTGTTTTGTTGGAATAAGACAATCCTTATCTCCTTGTGATGGTAAAGCCTTCTCCATTTTCTTTATTCTTGTTTCATAACCAAATTTTGTCATCAGTTTCTTGCCCGTCTCATTTTCTCCTTGTTCCATTGAGAGTAAACAACTGTTATTATAATCCTCTGTTTTCACATTTTCCCGTTTCATTGGAACTAAGTAACCCTTATAGTCTTCTACTGTCCGCTGTTGATTTATAATTTTTTCTAGTTCCATTGAAACCAAATCCTTCTTATCACATTCAGTTTTAGTTTCTTCCTGTCCATCTATTGGCAATTTAGTTGTCTGACTGTCCTGAAAATATGCATTTGGAATAAGATAACCATCATTGCAATTATGATATGGCTGGTCATATACATGACGGCTATCATTGTTTAATTGAAATTTTTCATCAATTATTTCATAACCATCATCCGAATCTGAAACTGAATCTATATAGTCATATTCATCCGATGAGCGCCTTGTTAAAGTCAGATCCTGGTAGGTACTGCTGGTTTTTACCACACTAATATCGATATCAGCATAGCTATCCTTTCTGTCCTTGGTTTTTGGCTTCTTACGTTTGCCTTTTCTTTTATTCCTGAGGGGATGAGAGCTCTCAGTTACTTGAATCTCAATAGCAGTATTTATTTCTTCAAGCAGTTCAATAAAATTTGGTTGAGCATTGATTATGAAATCTGAAATGAGATCAAAATTAGTTGTGATAAATATACCTAATTTTCTTTGATCTGTAAATTTGAAAAGGGACTAAGTTAAAACTATTGGTAATTTAAAAAAAAACACAAAAAAACATTCAAACAGCTTACATTGTGATTATTAAAGAGTTAGTAATTAGTTTAATAGACTAATAAATAACAGGCATTTTTAGAAACACTAATGAATAAACAGTTGGAATGATATAAGTGAAGAACGGTAGAAATATTATCTAACATGTTGTCAAGCTTTCTGTATTACATGAAATTAGGCACATCAGCACAATCAACACAGAATTTTTACTAAAATAAATTGTTTTGAATTGTTTATAAATTGCCAGCCAATTTAAGGATCTAGAAGCTATTATTTCACATCTCGTTTATTGGTGAAGAACATATTTTTTGGTTCTGACTTTCAATAATTGAAAGCTGATAAAAGAGATTATCTGAGGAAGAGAATGTATAACCTGTGTTGCCTTGGTAACTGTCAAGTTGATGCTGATGAGTACTGATGACCAAATCAGTTACACAACTCTCAAATTTGAGGAAGTCTTCAATGGTTTCATCTCGAAGGTCAAGAGCAACAAAGAACTGTATTCCATCATAGTCAACTGGGATGCTCTCCATGCAACTGCCAACTTCACCTAAACAATAGAGGGAGCACTTCATGTATTTGTTTTACCAAGTGTAGTGTCATAATGTAATACAGACCAGTTTAATAACGTCTTTATATTTTTATATTTCAATATGCTATTAGCTTTGAACTAAAATATTTCATTGCAAGTTAACAGATGTTTGAATGATATAATTTCTGGCAGTAAATTTAAAGATTTTCATAGTAAGAATCCATCAATTATTGAGGAACTGTAACTGAAAGTTGATAATCTGAGTTTTTTATGAGCAATTCTAATTTGTATTTTAATTTTCAATATTTTGGGTGGCATTTTTTTTTTTGAGGTGCATCAATGGTAACAATGTAAACCCTGCATTGCCTTTGGCATCTCACACTTTATCAGGAGGTAAAATACATATAATATTAATATATGCATTTGGTATAATAACAATATAGATATTTTTATGACATCTTTTGCCAAATGGCACTTAGAAAAGGTTTATGAAAGGGTGTTTGCAGGACTCATTACAATAGGAAGATCATTCCACAACTTGGAGCAGACTTATCACGACTGAGTGTATTGGATTTGGGAACAAACAGACATGAACCAGTAACAGAACAGAATGTAAAAAGAAGTTAAATGTATGAAGAGGAGATACCGGTGCTGGTACTGTATGAGAATTTATATTGCTCCTTTTCCTTGCGATTGTAAAGTCTCACTGTTCACGGAAAAACTCAGGCAGCATGTACTACAGCCTTAAACAGAAAATCACAAGCTCTACGACTGTATAGTCAAAATAATTAACAAAAGTACAACAGACACAACAGAAAAATAAAATTAAAGGTACTAGGCAAATAAGCGAGTCTTAAGTACACATATGAAAACATTTAGATCAGAAATGTCCCTAAGTTCAGTTGAGAGATTATTCCAAAGTCTAGCAGCTTGACAAGGAAAAGAAAAACACTTTCGATTCTCTTACAATGACGTGGAAATGTACAGATGAAGCAAATCAAGTGGAATGTATAGGAATACGTTGGTTGAGATAACAAGGATAAAGAGGTGTGCAAGTTGTTGAAAGTTTTGACTAAAGTACCAAACTAAGTCCCCTGGAGAAAAGGTTGTTAAAGAAGCTGATGGCGAAGAAGATTGATGAGCACATTTATTATGAATTTTTTTTATACAACCAATATCAATTTTTTTTTATACAACCAATATTCTTACTGATGTCGTTAAGGAGAGAATCGCAGTAGTCAAACATTGAAAATAAGCACCTTTTGACAAACCCACTCCCAGTAAGTATTTCATCCAACCTCTTCGTTTGATATTGAGAATAATTTCATCTTCCTCTGTCAGGCATATCAATTGGGACAGGTCATGTTTTGAATGTTGCAGGTCAATCTTGATATATTGTGGTAGTATCATGTGTTCCGCAAGGATTACCTCAGCATCTGCCAAAGAAATAGTTAAAAATTTATATCTACAGCACAGTATGATATTTAACAAATTTGTATTTGTTTTATGCAATAGAAGCCATGTCCATGCCCTAGCAGTGTGTACTATGTATGACATTTTGCATTCATTCCTGATATGTTTATAGAACTAGCACAAGCTACATTTACCTGTACATTGGGATTTATGGAAAAAAACTAAAGTGGTACGCAATGGAACAAACCACTATGCCAACCCATTTGGCACGGGTAGGTGTTGGTGTTACAGAGCTGAGGGCTCTGTTCATATTGTATATGATTTTGTATATTGGACTTGTTATATTATTAATTTTCCTAAACACAAAATAAATATGAAAATCAAACCTCCTAATGGTTCCAAAAATGTGACTGGACTGTTGATTGGAATACTGATTTCATTTACATTGTTGTCATATGCTAAAAATCGAAATTGTTCTTTAACACTGTGTAAGTACAAAACCTATA